CATGATAAACTCCTGCCCCTTAATACAAAGGCACCTAGCAGACTCTTTTATCAAAAGAAATTACATTTTCTCATTATACTAAATAATATCCGTCTTTAATCGCTCACACTAAGTGCGTTTCATTTCCTCTTTCATACAGTTCACAAAACCATCTTGACCATCCTGTCTTGCAGAGGCCGTAGCAAAATAATCCTCCTTAGTTGCACAAGTGTGTTTGTCTGTGAATTTATTTTAATTAGCCTTGAGTTCGCAACACCTTTGACTGTTCGGGTCAGATGTGGACATTTTAGATCTGGAGACATGTCCAAATCAAATAAATCAGACCATCAAACGGCTCATGAGATCATTTGCAAAAGCTACTTACACATCAACCCAACATCAAACTCACAGCAGTTCAATGCAAATAAAAATATATCGACCCTCTCCCCTCTTCCTAACTCTCTGATTATGAGATTATCTCCAGAATGGAAGCAATTGCCTTTACATATACGTAGACGTGTGTTTATATACGCTTGTTACCTTAAGTATGCATCTGTCAAACAATTATAGCCACATACATAAAGACAAACAGCTAAAAAATAGGAGACGACAAGGAGGAAATTTTAAAAAAGGCAGAGATTGGTGAATTTCCTTCCAATAAAGTCCTTTTCGGAGGTTATTTAAGTCAATCTGGCCTAAAAGCAATATATGATATATTACATTTTAGATGATAATGACTCCTTGAGTATTATCATTCAAATGTCCCTTACGCAATGTCTCCTCATGAATTCCAGAGGGGAGTCTGAAAGTCATCACGTCCCGCGTGTCAATGAAACTTGGCCCAAATCCATCATAGAGAGCAGCGATCTTTCAGCCCACAAGAGGACTTTTTACAGACTCCGCTGTAAACAAAAGGACAAAAGGGACACATGTCAATGGTGCACACATCCACATGGACTCAACATGTTTCACGGATGGAACCATGTTGGAGAAAGTCATTTTATCTTTGTGAAAGAAGAGGAGAAAATGACCCATATAATATACTCGAAGGGACATCAGCTCTTTAAATCAGCTGGTTGTTTCTGGCCATAAGTCCGTGCCTTCCTTCTGCTGTTTCACATCCCTCCATCTCACCATCTCCGTCCAATCTTCATTAGATTAATCAGCTTCATCGACTTCATTCCATCAGCCTCATCGGCCACCAGCCCCACCACCAGTGTCCGGACTCCACGGGGGGGATTCATCGATTACAAATCTCCCAGTTGAGTCAAAGACTTTACCATCACATATCATCTATTAATAACAAACAATTCTCGTTACTCTATCTGACTCGTCCCTGCTGACGCAAACGGAATTAGCAAGCTAGCTGGCTAACGAGCGGACAGGTAGCGTTTTGCTGTCACACTACACTTGTTTCAGCGGGTGAGCTGGACCAATCAGCCCGGCTGGCAGACAAAAGGGCAAACTGTCAAACTGTCAAGTGAAGAATCAGTCGGGCTGTCTTCGCCCACTTTCCTACCGGCGAGCTGCAACCACACCTTGCTGCCCCATTGTGCGGTCAGCATTATGCCATTTTATTTAATATTTTGTAAAGTAAAATGACCACAAGTCTTTATGGGCTGTATTCAGTTTCTTTAGGATAGCCAAGCTGTGAACCTGGCTGCTTTGTAACACAGCGGAGCACTAAAAGCTCCACTAAGTTCCCTGCTTGGTCGGAAAGCTGTTATTCAGTATTGACTTCTTCTGAGCTCATCAAGTGGCCACAGCTGGTTACACACTGACATTCGTGGCCTTTTGTCTCTGCGGAGCAACAGTCTGCATAACATGAGTTCTCCGCAAGACTGCAGTCAATACAGAGAAGATTTATGAGGATAAAGCATCCTTAAAAACGGCAGACTGTCCTTTCAAAAACCAGCCATTTCACATGTTTGTTACTTAAATTTGGTTTGTTTTTTTTGTTTGTATGTTTTAAAGTAAACTCATTCTGGATTAAATCAGCAGTTTAGCAGTACACCATTTTGACAAACACCATATGCACTGATATTGATCCGTCTTGTTAAGATGCCCCGATAAAATGTCATAAAACCATCATTTAGCCCTGTAAAGAAATTGCTGCCGCGGTGATATTTGCTGTAGATGAGGACAAGGCTAATGACTGAAAGTTACACACAACACCTCTTCACTGCTCTCAATCAGATAAGAGTAGTCAAGAAAGAGTTGATACGTGACACATCTGTTCCCTCAATTGCTGTTTAGAGTGAAGAGTCTCACAGCGTCTCTGCGGGACGTCCGAGGACATGCAGCTGCAAACAGCAGGTGACCAGCAATGGCCGCACACACATGCACACACACAAACACAAACACGCACAGCACAAAGGAAATCATGTCTGAAATACAGAAAAGCAGCGGGCCTCCCGGTCAAAGATGAGATGTCTGTTGACGGCAAACAAAAAAGTGTGTTTTACTCTTTTCATTAACTGTAATGTTTTTGCTTTATACATACTCATCCTGTTCAACGTGACATGAAGAGTGTTGTTTGACATTTTATTTTTATAATAAAAGTGTGCTGAGGAGTTTTCTTGTTAAACCAACAAAAGTTCTCTTTAAATAAAATGTTGATAACAAGTTAAAGCTCCATCAAACGTGTCACTATATTGTCACAGCAGTCCAGATTATCTAAACCCCTGATTTGTAGATGAAACTGTAAGTGACCCCGCTTGACATGTATGATCACTAACTGCATTAGAAGAGCGTGTGTGGGCATATCTGCCGAAGGTACAGAAGGTACAATATGAGTTAATTATGTACTCTACAAATGCTTCTTTCATTTATTTCGTTTTATTGGATTATCTCCTAAAATGTAATCCAATCAGGTTTTTCTTTAAGCATGAACTTGTTTGATTTACAGGACAATATACCTATTTATGCAAAGAAGTAGATAAAATCAGTACCTTAGAGAAGAATATTGAAATATTTAATAAAATTTTCCCCGTGGTGTTGTATTGCTGGTTTCACGGTGTTAATGATTGTGCATTGTGGGATGTGTTATGGCGAGGAGAGTTTGATTAAATCATACTTTCTCTCCCTCTTCCTCACATTTCCTCAATTATCTGGTGGGTTTTCATTTTCTTTCAGAATGGAAAAATGAATTGTAGTGTGTGTATTACAAATTCTCGTCGGTTTAGAGAGAAAATGAACCGGGACATCAGATGTGGAAAATAACAGAAATGAGGACAGTATGTCCCCCCAAGTCAACGATTCAGATACATCATTATATGCATAGACACACACAGAATTATACCACTATACTCCTGAGGACGTGTCACCTTGATTCCCCTGAGGTTTATCCTAACCTTGACTAAAATGTCCTCAATTTAAAAACCAAATGGATTGTATTCTTATTTATTGAACACTGCCCGTTTGTTGATATGATAGATGATAAATTCAGATCTTTACCTGCATATACTGGTCGGCCTCCGAAATGCAGTCTGGCAATATTCATGAAGCATAATCGTAAGCTGATAATATATGCAGCCTAATCGCTGTATTAGAGCCACCACCGCTCGTCTCTCCGCTCGCCGCAGGAAAGTCTTTGTTGGTGGTCTGGTGAAAAAGCCAAAGGCACCGATCGACCTCTGCAAGGTGCAAACAGTCTTGAGCACAGACACGTACACACACACACACACACACACACACACACACACACACACACACACACACACACACACACACACAAAAACATACACACATGCTGCCTGTCAACCTGCACGTTTCTGTTTATCCCAATTGTTTACTTAAAAAACACACAAACACCCTGTTGCAAAAAAGAAAACATCATCTTCTCTGTTTTATTTGTAGCCTTCACCGGACGGAATGGACTCAGTCCCTGTCATATTTACACTGCACAAGAGAAAACAAAGCCACAGTGAATATCCTTCATCACTTGGTCAACATCTATCACACTCTCGCTTCCAGCATTTATACCAACGCTTGGCCAGTGGCCCTAAGACAATGACGCTCTATCCCGTCTCGCATCAGTTTTTGCAAAGGTTGGGAAATCGTTTCCTTTGCTCACATGCATAGCATCTTTTTAAAATGAATGCGTCTTCAGGGGAGGCTAGACAGCACTCCCACCTGCCCTTTGTGGCATGTCCTATTTCCTTCATTACTGAGCTTTTACGGGACATGGGTGGATACTCGACCACATCGAGTCTTCAGGAAGAGCACAAGGCTTTGAGGCAAATTGAGTTGTCCAAACCATTGAGGCCAATAACACAGTTGCCATTAGACTTACATTGGGAAAGGGATGTCTGTGAATCAGGGAAAGAGCCCTTGCATTGAGAGGGATAGGTGGCGAGATTAGAGGAAATGCCAGAGTGCACTTGCTCTGTGGGCCCATGGATGCAGAAGATTGCCAGAGGATCTGGGTCATTTCATATCCGGAAGTAACTTTTTAGGGCTGCGTGTTCCACTGAGCAATTTTCATAAATCTGAATGAGGAGCCGCTTCCAACAGTGTATCCAAGTGTCTTTATGGGTCATTCCAGACCAAGAAACACGATATGGCCAGCAACGCTGTGTGTTTGATACAGTGTGTGTTTCATCCCTTATGGAATTTACATAAACTTAAACATGATCTTTTTCACTTTATTTGTTCGTGAAAGTATTACTGGAGTCCTTTTTCATCTTGAATGTGAACATTTTGTGAGAGACATTTAGCACAGAGAGCTACACATCTATGAAACCATTTATTGGACTGTCATTATTTACTTTAGAATCAGCACAATCAAAATTTCTGTAGCTTTAATATACCAAAATGTATTATGTCTATTCCAGCCTTTTGATATTGATGATTTTAATGCGAAGAAAAAATGTCCATTCGATATTTTGATCTATATTATATCATACTATAGATGGCAGTGATTTATGTAACACAAACACTGTTAATTGGGTCTATACGAGTAAGGCTTATGAGTGAATCCAGTACAGTGTGTGCGCAGGCTTGAGTCCACATCCATTCCGCTCGCAGATGTGTGCGCCTCTGCAGCAGCAGCGCGCTCCGCTCCGTCCGCGTGTTCCGGGAGGAGCGCACCGTGTTTGGATCAGTCTCCTGCGCGCGTAACGCAGAGCGGGCTCGTGCTGCAGCGGACTCCGGAGAGACGTCGGCCGCCAACACTCACATCGGGAAACGACCAACCAGCTTGGGAATTTCTTAAAAGGAAGTGAATTCTTATTTTCTGTATCATCCGTGGAGATGTTTTCACTTTTTTCCCCTGACGCGTAGTTTTCAAAGTGAGCCCGCTTGAGTGATGTCATTGCGCTGCACGCTGGTCGGCGGAGGCTCCTCGGGCAGATGGATGGCCACATTGCTTCACTTGGTTCTGCTCCTGCAGCCGGTGGTGTGGGAGACGGTGAGTCCACAGGTTGATGTAGTTAATGAAGTGTCGTGTTCAGGTGGGAGTTTGTAAGCTCATTTCTGAAAAATATTCATATTTTACCTTTACGCACGTGCACAGATCAAATCATTATACTTCAAAGACGACATCATCAGGGCAACATATTATATTTTCTTGACTTTAATACCTACTGGTGAGTAAGTTGGAATAATGATCGCTTCCCATAGTATTGAGTGATAGTTAATTTCTTTATTTTTCTTTCTTTCTTAGTTTTGGATATTCAACATGTATTGCACCATTTAATGCACCGGAAGTTTAACTATTGTATCTGTGTCAACCTCACAGGCAATATATATATATATATATATATATATATATATATATATATATATATATATATATATATATATATATATATATATACGTTAATCTATCTACAGGGTAACTGAAATCACTGATTTAGAAATACCTTCAAGTAAATATTCAATAAATAAAAGGAAACCACCCATTGCTGTCTCCCGTGACTCCATTAACATGGACACTCCCTTGACTCTGCTTCCTTTGGCTCCCGACAAACATCAGCAAAGAGAAAGCATTCATGTTTTTGGCTACACATGCAAACAATGCAGACAATTCAAGGTAAAAAATAATTTCCATGGTTATTTGAACTTGGATTTAAAACCAGCAAGGATTCCTGATTAATGACCCTATAAATCGGTTACCGCATTGGTTCGCTTTACAAAAATCCAATGACATTGTTTCCCTAATAATGTTTACAAATCAGCAACACTTGTATGAGTTTCATTATTCTGAGCAGAATGAACGTTGAATGAATGTTTGATATCACTTTTTGAACATCTCTATCATTCTTTAAACAGGTTTGCCAATTGCAATTTGTTTTCCTTACATAACATGATTTGTTTGATATGAAGAAAATAATGAAGACATACATGACCTCAGGAGACAGTTAACTCCTATGTTAATGACGTTAGGTGCACTTTGTCTGTTTGTTTTTTGTTGCTTGGCAAGCAGTGCAAGGACTTTCTGATGAATATCCCCCCGGTGGCCGAGCCTTTAGGGTTAATGAGAGAGACACGACTGAATCCATTTAACTTTGTAGATCGTAAAACCCAAACAAATAATTGAAAGAAACTAAAATGTGTGTCCTGTGAGTGGGATTGTCTTCCATGTCCCTGATGGTTTCCTCTTGTGTCCAACCACCTGCATCGGTGTATTTGGTTGGTTGGCGAGGTGTGTTGTTCGTCTGAGTTACCCGTGTTTTTTAAATAAAGCGTTCCTTTGGTTGTGAAAACTGCGTTTTAGTCCTCCAGTGGTCCCGTGTCCCCCGTCACACAATTATTGAGACTTAAATGTTGCCTAAGACGTTGCTTTAGATGTTTATTGGTTGTTTATTGGTCAGTAGCCATGTATACATACAAACGTTTAGGTATAGAAGGTTGCGTAAGGGAGGAAAAGCTTTTAACATGTTTGTGTGTCTCAGCGAGTGGTGAGTAACACAACTTTTTTTTTATTCCCGAGAAAACTGTAAAAGGACGCAATTAACATAAACCAAACCAACTTTTAAAATGTACTCCAATACAGCTACAAACATACAGTTGAAAATGTGTAAGCATCTACTAGCTGTTTAACTTCTCTATAATGTTGTAGTTTAATAATGTATCATAATTCATAAAGTCAGCATACATTTTGTCTGTTAAATTTCGACAGAGTGTCTTTCCATGACGTCAAATGTCTCATACTGTGTCTCCAGCCCGAGGCCAGTCGTGCCAAGTTAAAAACCATGTCGTAAAACCTTAAAATAATTTCTAAATGCCACAAGTAACCAGGGCCAAGAGGTCAACATGGAAGAAATGTGCTCCAGCGAGAGAATGTTATTTTATTTTAGAGGCAAACAACCAGTGACATTAATCCAGCTGCTGTAATGAAGGGAAGGATGTGTTTGTGTGTTTGGAAATTAGGTGACGCCATGTTAGAGATGCCTGTCAGCAGACAGATGGCTGACTTTGTTGGGTTGTTAAAATATTTACAACTGGGGGCCTTTTTCTTAAATTGAGGCTGGTGTTTGCAAACCAGCACGTCAGAACCCCGCTGATGAGTCTCACGAAACATGTATGGGAGCATGAGATGGTTAATTGAACAGGAAAGACATCTATTTATTTTTTTTAGCATATTCAAATGACTCAATCAGCAGAGGTGTCAAACGTATTCACATTTATTACTCAAGTAGAAGTACAGATACTACGGTTTAAAAAGACTCCTGTAGAAGTTGAAGTACCAACTCAAGCTTTTTACTTAAGTAAAAGTACTGGTTTAAAAACTACTTAAAGTATACAAGTAAAAGTAATGTAATAAATTCCATTAAGGATAAACTCTTAATGCGTAACCTCGCTCACACACAAAAGTCAGGGGATCACAAACATCATAAGAATTAATAACTAGAACGTTTGTGTAAAGATGTCGAACAATGTGTTCGTATTAAAACGAATGAGTGAAAACTTAAAAGCCAACAAAGGGTATGAAGCAAAAAATATTCAGCGAATGTCAAACCCTTCTGTTAATGTTCGTAAGACCCAATGTGAGTCAGAGGAGAGAACTGGTGGGTTTAATGCACACAATGAAAATGAATATTGAGAACCACCAAGACCTGGAGGTTAGATGTAGATTGAAAACATTAAAAGGCCAATAATAGACCCACACATGCGTCTGTAATGGCATCGAGGACCTGGTGATTACCTGTCCTCTGCATCACTGGGAAATTCTGCATTGACTTGATGGCAGTCGGGTAAATGTTGCCGGCGGCTGTCGGCACCCTGTGATAATGACCGTTTAATTTAAATGACCTTGCAGCCACATAAACTGCTGCCATTTAGGATCGAGATTACAATAATCGAAGTGCATGCTCAAATGGCACGCCTGCTTACACGCACACACACACACGCACGCACACACACACACACACACACACACACACACACACACACACACACACACACACACACACACACACACACACACACACTTTTTTCCTTGTCTATGAAACTTGGAAAACGTGCCGGGCTCTGCACCTCATCATAGGAGTCTCACCAGAATCTCTACGCGTCACTGAACCCGTAAAAAGACACATTGTGTTGCTTTGTAAGACGGCCTATCGTGTTACTATCTTGCTTGTGTGAAGGAGGTTTGTTCCATAAACCTTCAGGCCAGATATGGCCGCGCTGTCGGGTGTCGCTGTGCCTTTGTGGTGCCAGATCGAGCTTCTCCGCCACACAGCTGCAGGTAAAAGCTATTAATGATGCAGGAGTTTATGGACCACCCGGTTTGAATAAATTGTTGAAATACTTTTCTAGCTGAATTCTGCTCATATACGGTTTTGTGTTTAGGGGGAACTGTGGATTGATCAGATAATTCAGGAGATAAAAAAATAACTGAACATACACTGTTGAAAAATATGGAGGACATTTGAAAGGAAGATTTTTTCTTTTAGACAAGTCTCCTAAAAAGGAGGTGGGGACATGGTGGATTGTAGGTGATGGGACTGAAATAACATCTTGTCATAAGTAACAGAAAGACTAATGCACAATTGACTATAACTAGGTTGGACCATTACTGCACTCTTCTTTCTTGGCTACCAGACAATACGATGATCCAGCTACAATGCATTCCACATTCTGCTGACACCTAGCCTTTTTTTTTGCCCACTGCTGGCAAAATGGCATCCCCATGATAAAAAGTGTAATAACTCTGTAACTGCTTTGTCTATCTCGACCATTCCTTTCTCCTGTCAGGATTCAGGGGAACCCATGTCAGTGTTCTGATGTGTAAAAATCATTTTACATGTTACTGGTGAAGAAATGAAATCAATATACACCTTTGAATTATGAGAATTGCATGAAATAAAATCACTAACAGCCCTATAAACATGGGGATACCAGGCTAAAAATCTACGCAATAACCCAGTGTGTGGACAGTTTTCATGGAAGGTTTCACGTTGATAGAGTGAAGATAAACTACTCTACAGGAGGCTTTTGTGCAGGCCTCACGTTGGCTGCATCGCACGTTTCAACCACTTTTTTGGATTGTCTGATCCAATCGGATGAAATGTCTCCCGATGCGCATGCATCCAACGGCGGCTGCACGTATCTCGCTTAAAACAAAACGGATTCATTTTATAATTTGGTTCAAAACCTCCAAAGTAGGTAAATAATTTGGGATTAGCTTGGATGCCGGCCGTTATTTTACTCTGGCTTCGACAAGGTTTGTCTGAGAGAAACGTTCTGGACGTCACTTGATTCAGCGTCGTCTGAGGCAGCGTCTCATTTTCTTTGATAGCTTCTAGCTTCCATGTAAACAGTGTACATGAGCTCCGCTGAGGACTAACTTGCATAACATATTTTCTAATTAGTTGTGGTGAATGTGGCCAAAACTCGAATGTTTCGAACGGTATGAAGCATTCCTATACTCGTTCCCGATGAGTACACCATATTCCTGTTGGAAGTTGGTTCTGGCTCGGTTCCGGACCAAAGTGTGGAAAAGTTAACCAAGACCAAAAGGAGAGCAAATATTCCAAAACATTTTTGCAGTGGTAACCGGTTTGTATTTTCGCGTTGGATTAGAAGGCGTTGCGCGGCCTTGCCCGAGCACACGTCTCAGAAAGGCTCTTAGTGTGTGAATCAGTGAGGGCCCTCAGATCCCCTGGCTCTTATCTTTTACAACAACAAAAAACAATTGTCCACACTGCTATCAGCCATTATGCTCCGAGCCGTTGTATCATCTTCAAGAGGAGAAAACAGGAGCTGAAAGTACAGATATTATCAAGAAGAAACCATTACCTCTGGCTGTTATGTGGGTTTTCTAAATTCTAGCTTTTGTCTATTTTTTGCTCATTATTAAAAGTATTCAGTGACCGTTTTAAGCTGTTGATTTATACATATTAACGATTTACTGTCTTAACTTAATTCTGGGTAGATTATTCTCACCGTTCCTCCATTTACATCTTTTCTTTCTTAACTCATTTGTATTGTGTTTTATTTCTTTGAACGGTGTAAACAAAACTGGCTTGATTTTTTCATTTAGAAATGGGTTAGAAAACCGCCCCACCACACACACACATACACAACTATGACTGACTGCTGCTGCTTCACGTCAGCAATTCTAAGCATGGTGCACTTTAGCCCTCCGCCTAATGCATATGTGTATGTTTGTCTTTTTATTGTGTTATAGTATTCATGTGGAAGGAGGACATTGCAACATAATAATTTTATTGTACATTACATTACATTACAGTACAGAGTAACCTCGTTAACTGTACACATGACAATAGATATCTTGAAATAATCTCGTAATTATCTTTGTTTTCCATTCGCTTAGTTTTAACTAAGAGTAGAGAATCACAAAACAAACCATTTCATTTTTTTAACTGATTCAATGAAGAAAGAACATAAATACACACTGGACACACACACGGTGACAGATTGACATATAGTGTAAGATGTCTCCCCTCGCGTGTTTGTTCTGGACACCGCAGTGCTTTGAAAGGATGAGGTCAAAGGTCACGTTCACCTGCAGTGGCTCCATCTGTCCAAGTGGCGGGTGGTCTAAAAGTAATGTTTCACAGATTTCAAACACAAAAACATGCATTTGAGGGATTATACTGAATAATTGATTTAACTGCCTGGTGGAGGAGCTGCGGGAATGTCAACATCCTTGACATGTTCCAATTTGTTGTCTTGTAATATCATTATGGGCCAATAAGGGTCTGCAGGTTTCCGTTCTTTCCGCCTCTTCATGTTCAGAGGGGGTGAGAGGAAGTGAGGGCAGAGGAGCCTTGACAGTTGATGTCAAGACTTTTAGAGGAATTTGTAGAACTCCCACGTCAGCGCTGCCAGGGGAGCTGATTACCGTGCAGAGGTTCTTCACAGCACGGGAACCTCCAACTTTCAGTGCGTTTCCTGTATAGAGCGACGCCATGTTTCAATGCTTTTATGATGTAACTGCAGTCCTGAAATGTACTTTCTGCCTTTAAGCAGCTACATTTTTGTGCGAGTGAAAAGTCCTTCTTCTAAGAATCAGCTTTTAATGGGTTTACTATGAACTGGATATATGCAACTTATTGCTCGGTGTTATATTTGTTCCCTATTTTTTGTTTGTTTTTCTCAACGGTGTGAAGGTTTACAAACCAATATTATTTTAAATCGGATGGATCCTTCCTGTGTTTATTCATTTTTGAATCAGGATATTAGTCAGTAACAGCGTACATCGTTTTGTTAGATTTTCATGGATTTTATTGGGTGGAGCTACTAAAATTACTAATAGTTGCGATTTACGAAGCTTTCCATCAGTATTTAGAAAAGAGCTCAAAGGGGGCGAGTGTATGAACATCTTACACTTCACCACAAAGATGAGATAAAGATAAGATAATAAAATAGGAAGGAAGGAATATTGATATATTTAGTTCTCGGAATCTACAGCAGCAAAGATTAAAGTGCAAACTAGAGACGTAGTAAAAACAAGATGAAAACAAGTGTTATAAATATGCAGCAGTAAAGATAAACCAATTAGTCAATTAATGTATTAATTTCAGTTTACCTGTTTTAAACCTGTATTATAGATTAAAAAAAAGTCTTTTTTTAAGGTTTTGGTCTTTAAGTTTACAAGTTAGTTTTCAATATTGTCATTTTTCCCCTTTTCCAAAGGAATTACCATCATCGCTATTTGAAGATCGCCTCCTAAATAGTGACTGACGAGTGCTTTTCCTGTGTAACTGTGTGCTGTCTCTTCTCAGGCGGAGGCCATCCACCCAGACTGCGCCCTGGTGGTTCAGCACATGAAGGCCCAGGAGGACTGTAACCAGATGCTCCAACAGGAGCAGAGCCACGACTCCACCAGGACAGGTCTGTGCCTTTAAGTGGGTTTCATTTCAAGAAATGAATGAAATTAAAAGAAATGCTAATTATGAATCTATATATATGTATTAAAAGGTATTTTTTGAGAATTTAGTGAGCAACTCTGGTGGAATAAATTTCCTCAGAGTTGCTCACTAAATTCTCGAAAAAGCCCCCAAAAAACGAGTTGATTCTTCTCTTATCCACCTTCTTCATTCGTGCCATAACGAAAAATGTTAAATCTGTTTAGAGCCCACCCCCTAAATTTGACAAGGGACTACTTGAAACTTCCCCTGTAGACAAATGGTGGACATCAGTAATGAGATTCTGATTTGAAATTCAATTACTTTGCTCTCCTCTTTCCGTTTCCTTTTTTCGATGGATGCTACTTTCAGACATAAACCATTCCCTTATATTTTCTAAATCTTTAAAATCCATCTGAACATTTAACGCTGGACAAACGGCTTGGCTCATATTGGGAAATTAAATCCAGGAGAAAGTTTGAGTTTGAAAAAGTCAGACTTTTGCAGTGCTGCACCAATTCAAATGTCCCGTTTCAAACCCTCTTTAGCTGCAGGATGGTGATTAAAATTGTATCTACAGATATGTGAATATGCTCCTCTACGTGGGGATCATTGAACAATTATTCTACTGATTCATAACTTGTTAAAGTGCGATCCCAAGCTTGCTGTTGAAAGACAAGCACGTACATACAGGCACATGTTCTATGCCTATATCATTTTTGCTATGACCTCTAGCGTGACGGCCGGATGTTCCAGCAGCCGCCATCGCTGATCACTTCCCTATTTCACTCTGTGTGAAAGAAAAAAGGATAGAAAAGTTTGGTTTTACGATATTCCCCAATTCAGTTTAAAAAGACTCAACAACGAGTGAAATAATGTTCCACCACAATCCCCCTCTGCTCTTCACCTATACGGCTGTGGCGTAAGACAGGGTGGTGGTGCTCAGGATCAGGCTCGGCCCTCAAGGCAAGTCCCAAGGTCCCTTTTTGAATGTCGTCGACACGCTTTTTCTCTTCTGGGTCTCTGAGAAAAAGGACTGGAATCATCTTAAGAACACAACTCTGGTGACTGTATTGCTTGTTCATTGATCAACTTATATTTCATTGTCATTATTGAGATAGCTCATGGAACTCTCAAAGGGAAAAAAAAGAGTGGATTCGCAAAAAAGTAAACAGCTGCTGACAATTGTCCCCCACAAAATGAAATTAATGATGGAGGCGGACCGTTACAGGGCCGAACCTTCCCTCTGCTCTTCATCACTGCTTGGGTCACAGTGATGAATGAAGTGAGTATAGTTTAGCAGAGATTGAGGTGCTGATATCTTCCCTTTTTGTTAAGATGCCTTTTTTGGGTTTCAGTTGTAATGTGAGGATGTTTTTCCTTACAGCACATAGTCAGCATTCTCTTCTTTGCTGCAGGAAAGGTCATTGCCTTTTTAGAATCTTGGTATTCTTTAGTTACAACATGGCTGTTTTATACTATTCATGCTGTTAATAACAATCACGACGTGACAAAAGGGACATCTGTGCAGTCTGCATGGTACAGTGCATTATCTACCTTCCTTTGGCAGAGAATTGCCTTTCTTCAAAAGCACAGTGAGGCTATTCGTACCTGGTCAGACCGACCTTCCCCTGGTGGAGCAGGCAAAACAATCAAGGGAACTAATCAGGTGTGGAGATGCCCGGATTAAAGGCAGCGATTGACAAACCTGGCTTTGGCGCTCTTTCGCTCGCGCATTTCAGGCGGGAGGTGAGCTCACTGAATCAGAGGAGATTCATCCGTTATCCTCCCTCCAATAACTCGAAAGAAAAGGAACAGGCTGTCCTGCAGGAGGGAGCTGCTGCCTGAAAACATGTCAATTACACACCAAATATGAATGTCCTTTGTTTTGAGGTGTTTTTCGAGCAAGTGACGTGGTCATTCCAGGAAGGCGGGCTTCGGTCTCGCCACGTCGGCCTTTGTGAAAACTACTCATTCGGTGAGACGCTCGTGTCTGTGACGCAGCTGGTGTGGCTCAGAATTAATTGCATCGTTTGTCACCCTTTCGTGTCTGATCATCCGAAGCAAAGAAGTGCCAATTAGTATTTGAAGCGGCAGGTACGAGCCCCTTCGAGCCCGGAATGAACAGTGACTTAAATAGACTGAAGCTCATCCCAACGAGGACGTGCTGATGAATGGAGCTGCCGAAACTGCCGCCATTGACTTTTCATTCATTTTCATCTGTCCAAATGACCAGTGAACTCAATTATTGATCCGTTTGACTCTCGTTCGATTCTCTATGGTCAGCGCTGCCTTAAAAGGATGCGATTAAATGAGATTAAATAATCCTGCAGAGCAGATGGACAAAAAAAGGGACATAAACTGAAAAAGATGATTATAACATAGAATAAATAACATGATAAGTCCGTAATCACACAATGAAAGTATAATAAATACATTTCAATAATGAGTGAAATATTATTGAACTGAATGGTTTCATTCCAATTGGGCATTGGAGTCAGTTAAGAGCTAATAAAGGATGGGCCACTGATAGCGAAGTGGACGATAGTGCCGACAGGATTTTATGAACAGCTCGCCCGCCCGGGGACCTTTAGCTGAGGCCATAATGTGGCACGTGTGACTCACAGACCTTTAGCTAAAGGTCTTTTCGTCAAACGTGCCACAGCAATATTAATTTGCCAACTCACTCTATCGACAAATAGTAAACAGAGTGCCCTCCTAATCAGTAAACATAGTATGAAACAAACTGCCAACAATAAGTCAAGACAACGCTACGTACACAGAATAAGGCTGACAATCAACGAGACGCCCGTGATGAAGGACTGAACCCTCCCAGGCGTGAGAAACAAGCTCATTTCAATGCATTTTAGATGCCGAGAATTTACTCAACTCATAAAAGAGCGTTTGACACCGAAAACGTCAACTGCATCATTGTTCTTGGCTCGTCACTCCTTTTGGGACGCTGTGTTTGACCTGAGCGAGTATCTGCTGACTCTGACATTTTCAGGTGGCCCCTGGGAGCTTAGCTTATCAAGGTCATATGGAAGCACATTATTGAGAAATGAAATAATAAATCACTGTATAAATTGGCAGGTATGGTATTGAAAGTTGGTGGTTTAGGAGAGAGAGAGAATATTAGATTGCTTTGGCCCCTGCAGTCATTGTTTTCCTACACATCTCAAAAGTCATTATAAGTGGATTAAGTACCTTGTTGCAGTTGCTTAGATGTGATTTCATTAATTTAATCAACTTTTGTTGTAAATGAATCAAGAACAGTTATTAAGACTGTGATGGGAAGCGTTCTTTTTTCATTTTTGGCAGTCAGGCAGCGAAAGGTTGGCCAGACAGGCTGACTGTGTTTGATTTTTTCTATTGAAGTCTTTAACGTCTCATTAGCCTCACATACCCGTCTGTGTTTCTGTGTGTGTGTGTTTCTCGTTCTACTCACCTGCCCCGTCCATCCAGCCGCCTCCAAATTGCCCCATCACCCCACCCATAAATACTCCCCTGTGTTAGAGTCACTTTGAGTTCTTTTGTTTATTATTTTTTGGTGACAAAGTCAGCTAACAAACGATGGATGGTGTTTTTCTCCACTCTATTTTTGTAATTCTTTGTATTTAAGCACTTCAAGCGAGTTTCAGCCCTTATCATTTATGTGGACATATCTCATGTTTTGCATATAAACAGGATGATGACAGGCCATAGACAATCACATTCACATGAGTTTGGAATTAATATAGTTTTGTTGGGATTTTTTTTATTTATATTATGGCCTTAACCTGCCTTATATAGTGTCTTTGTCTCTAAAAGTGACCTGCAGGCCAAGCAGACTCTCAATAGCTGCTGAATCTTTGAGCTGCCACCCAACACGTTTTACTTCTCATTGTGGTTGTTTTGCATCTTTTGGACATTTATTTAGCTTTGAGATGATTTTATATAGGAAGCCTGGTTTGTCTGTTTTTTCATTCAAATTTAAATCATTTGAAAAAAAGAACCTCCATTACTACTGTAAGCATGACCCATTTTCATTATTTTGTTTATTATTTTTACTTTGTTGGAGGGACATGGAGCCTAGCAGCACCATTGAATACTGCTAGTATCCCAAAGCAGTGTGTGGTTGTTGGTTTGAATACGAGAACAAAGAGGTGCATTTAGAGTTCTCTTTTCACCTGCAAATCTTTTCAGACTAATTGATCAGGATTCATCAAGAGTGAAAGAACCCATCAGATGTGACTATACGTGGAACAGACAGGTGGAATAAAAAGAAGCAGCAATCCGGCTACTGAAATACTGATCGCGCTCTGCAGGCGCAATGTCGCAATAGTCTGCACATTTTGCAGGTGTTAGTGTTGCTTTGTTACATTTGGTTACCAGTAATGGATAAAAAAGAACGGCAGCACCAAAACAGTTAAAATCACACTCACCTTCATCTTTCTGGAGCAGTCAACAACTGTCCACTTCAGAGACAGGACAGCCTAGGTCTTACTTACTGTCCAGTCCCACAGGAGACTCCACCACAGCAGAAACAAGGGGGGTCAGTGACAAAGAGGAAATGAGTGAAAACTGAGATGGGATTTAAAACCTTGTCCATTTCCTGAAGGACACTTCCAGTAAGACCGACAGTAAACAACAGCCTTGTGAATGTAAGTGTTTGTTTTCATCACACAGCTTTCATGTTCCACTGTTGACATTTCCACACATTATTTTAATTCTAATCAGCCTAATTTTCATTTTCATACGGGATCAAATACGTGAGGTGCGAAGTAACACAGTACGTTTCTTTACGAATGGAGACCTAACAGGTCAACATTAAATAGGAGTGGTATTTATGGTAGAATAATTGTTGAAATCAAAATGCAAATCATTTAAACCCTCATATGTGGAGTTATGGCTTTCCAGATCTGTATGACTAATGCAGTGCCAATTCTTTAAACAGGCTTACTCTCAACTGACCGATTTGATTTTTTTCTTTCTCTGAACTTTAAGGTAATGAGTGTCATTAGTCTTTTGCGCAAATCTTTCAGCTTCTTCTGCTCAAAAGAACCTTGTGAGTCTCCTTAGATCTGAAAGTTTGGTTCTGAATTAAATAATTAGATGACTGCTGTCTGAGCAGAACAGAAAATCCTCTCTATGTTCCCACAATCTGTCAGGGAAACTAAACAAGCACCGTCCACGATTTCACTCCTTCCTCCTCATCACAAATATTGTTTATTAAAGGTTAGATATTGTTCTGCAAATATCCCATTGGAACCTTTGCTCCTGTACTATTTTTTAACAATAATACAGCAGCAGAAATGTCCGTGACAAACAGAAGACAGAAGTTTCATTGAACCAATAAAACGATGATCCGGGCGATAAGACGAATAGAATACTGAGATATGATGACTGAAGGTGAAGAGGAGATGCAGGACATGCGATAAATTGATGATTGGTTGATCTAATTCTAGAATCTTGTCTGACCCTTCGAAATGAAAAAAAACCTTGCCTCATAACTTGTTCGTAGCGTTTATTATACTGTAGATCTCATAAGTGTCCGAGGGGGAAATCATCGTTTAACTGCCACACAGTAAACACAACAACATCTGATGGATGCCGTGCTTTCGCTGACAATCCTTCAATAATACACTAATACTGTTTTGTAATCGAGCAGACGTCATTGTTGTGATTCACATTCTAAGCTGCTCTGATGAGGCTGCATGTGTTTGTCTAAAAAATAAAAATGTACCGACAGCCATAGATGTTTGGGACCTTTGCAGTAATTCAGCATTTACAGCAATAAAATCAACGCATTTCTTTAAAAACTGATCTAATGTAGCCTGCAAAGTTGGTCAATACCTTGATTAACTACCTCTACACGCGAAACAACCAAAGTATAGCAAAGAGACTAATGCCGATATGGAGTCACTGGTGGGCTAGGAGTGTGAAAAATAAGAGCCAAAAAAGCCTGGCATTGTGCTCAGGACACTTACCAATAACAGGACAGCAAGACTCAACCATCAATATCAGGTGTGAAGCACCAGTCCAGTGATCCTGTCCGTGTCTCTTTGATTGTCCCCTGCGGAGGTCCTTCCACACACTGTGATTCACACGAGCCCTTTTATTGTTAACTACATGCCCAGATGCCTCCCCATGCTTTCCATTACCTTCAGATACAAGAGGACAGTTGACAATAACGCCCCTCATTACTTTCCATTTCCAAGGGGTTCAGGTGTCACCAGCAGCTGTAACTGCTGGTGTTACTGTACAAACAGCCAGTTAAATAGCTAATATGCATGTCAAACATGCCGCTTCAAAGCCAAATTCATCCAGCTAGATGTTTGTCCATCGGAGAACCTCCGGCACGGCCAAAAGCTGTGCTTGATAATGAATGAATGGTGGTTTGCGCCGCCGTTTGAATTGACGCAGGGCCAAGCAGCTTTGATGTCCGAGGCGTCGAGGTGGCAGAGGGAGGCGGGCTCCTCGTTACTGCTCCGCCTGACCCGCCTCTCCACCTGCCTTCGCTCACAGCGACGGAGGCTGATCAGATAACGCGTCAGCAATGTGAGGGGGAGAGGAGATAGGAAGCGCGGCCGGAGGGGAGGCCTGAGGACGAGACCCAAGCGTCTCAATTTTCCTCAAACTGCGGGAAACCGCCTTAAAAGATTACACCCTGACGAACGAGTTTGTGTACATATAGAATTATTCTTAATTAGGTTTATGAATCGCTCGTTAACCTCTGCATGTATTGTTGTTAAGAGGTATCCAAGGTCAAACAAGCCACCCACTGACTGAATTTTAAGTGAGCTGCATAAATAGAATGAAAAAACGGATTGATCCCTCTGTCTATAGTCAGGATTAAAACTAATGCTGCAAAAGTCTTATTTGGTTATTTGTTCTATGATTTTTTTATCAATTAAAACACAGTGCTGGGAGAACCGGTCCATCTTTTTTCACCTTTATTGAGTGGTTTGATGAAAACTTCATTGTATTTATTTCTTTATTTTGCCTGGATTCTGCAGCCTTCTTGCTTCCTTTTCAACACATATCCATCCTCCATCTCTGGAGACTGAAGGTGTCCGACCATGTTCAATACAGCAAAGTCCGTCTGACTACTCGCGGAGGGATCCCTCTTCTGGGGAAGTGATGAATGTGTCCATTGTGTCATCGTGTCTCAGGTTGTCCGACGGCGTGGGACGAGATCCGTTGCTGGCATCGTGCAGGTGTGGGACAGGTGGTCAGCGTCTCGTGTGCCAATGTGTTCCAGCTGTTCGCTAGCAACCACGGTAAACATCTCCAACTCATCTTTAACATACGTGCATCATATGCAATCAAGTTATGCCTTTTTCAAGTATTTATTTCATTGTATTATTGTTTCATAGCATTCCAACAACAACAAGCAAACATGTTGACATTATAACATAGACATATTTGGTTTTATATAACATTTTTTGTTGTTTTCGTCAATATATTGCTGGTTATTTCAGGCTATGAGGAATTCTAGCTACAGTTTTTTGTCATCCACGCTGCACCGTTTGATTGTTTTCATCGGATTGGATCGGCAGAAATGTTCACATTGAACCCTTTTGAGGCACTTTAGGAACATTATTAATAATCCTGTTACCAGTCATACTGATACCACTTTTTATCCGCCTGCTTGTGTCTCTGCTGTATTATTTCATCCAATGACGATGTCTGTCAATAATCTGTTTTTAGGCCATTTTGACTTGGGTTTGTGAAAACACTGAAACAAACTCAAGTTTCAGATGAACTTGCACTCGGTTCAAGCCCTTTTCAGTTCACCGCTCAGCAGAAACGACCAGGTTATATTTAGAGATCTCCTGGGACGGGTTCTTTGCTCCCTGAGTGATCTAGGGAAGGCTGACGTTTTCATATTGGGGTCACGTGGTCTCATCTTCTGTGTCTGAACTGCAGAGGGCCTTCATCTCCTCAATGTTTACACGGCCCCCCACCATCCTCAGACCCCGATCTTATCCAGCTGGCTGGTCCAAACAAAACAAAATACGCTCAGAATCTCTCATGTACTAACAAATGGTAGACAGAGAAACGTTGACTGAGCCAACTGAGGTGGTAGAAATATGTGTTCCTGGATATTTTGGGGATCAACAATGACATAAAGATCTGAGTCACAGTTTATCGGATTGGAGTAAAACTTGATTCATCAGATCTGAGTTAGAGTTAAATGTGATATACGTATCAGCATAATGTTCAGTAGCATCGTACTTCATTTGTTTTACAACGTAATTAGCAGAAATTGCAGATTTCGAGCAGCAGTGAGAAGAAAACACTCATGTCTCAGTTAGACGTATACTTGTAGAAATAGAAGGCGGAGGTTGCTCAGGACGACCTCATAACTCAGATCTAGTGGGTTTCTGGACCCCACTGGATTTACTCCTCCACAGATGCGCTGTTAAGTTGAGCGCTTTAACGGTGCGGTTTGCAGATGCAGCCTATCCGACGGCCGGCTGTATTTGGAGAAAACAATGAATTGGAAAATCAAAGAGTTCACCGTAAGAGCCAAGAGCATGAGGAAGGAACTGGCGCTGCTAGTTAAGCAAGGCAGTAAGGGCACCAGCGGCCTCCCTCGAGCCTCGACCTTCCTTCAAATCCAACCATTCACCTACTGAGGATGTGGCTTGAGGCCTGCAGGCTCTACACACCGCGATGTGCCGAGGCTAATGCAGCTGTCGGTAGCACCACCCACGACTCAAACTCCCACACTGTGCTCGGCTGCGCCGGACAGGCAGTTTCACATTGGGAAACTGAGTGTGTTATTTCACTGCAAACCTTTCATCCTCCGTCATGCGAACATGGACTCACGCAGAAAACCTTATGACCTTGTGTGGGTCATGACAGCCGTCATTCTGACTTCAGGCGTGGTGGGAGAACATGGCTGCAAATATGCTTCAGTTGAATTTGAATTAATTTCAAAGTCCAACCAGTGCTTACTATTAGGGTTGCCTGGAACTTTCTATAAAATGAACAAAGTACATTTCTCATATACTTCTGTGATACTTGGATGGATACACACGGTTCCTTCAGTCATTGAGCTAAATTGTGTGAAAGATGCAATTCTTGCAGTTCAATGTCAGGTCCTGCCGATCAATTCAGCATTAAATTAAAACCTTGTGAGCAGAGAACAATCCCAAAAACCTGTTGAAGAAGCAGTTTGACCGCAATCCGTGGGCTTTAGCGACTGAAAGAAGGTATCTGTTGGCCAATGAAATGAATGGATATGTGGATAACGGCATCAGATACCGTTCCATTTTAAAAAACGCGTGTACTTGCATATTGCCTGAATCCGACCGGCCCAAAGAACTGAAGTGGTTTTTACGGAAAGGTTATTTCTGTGCACTGTGGTTGCACAGTATTCCTCAAATCAGCAGAGCTGAGAACTGTCCACTGGCCACATCCCTTCCCAGTTTGCATATAGGAAAAGCTGGGAGTACGTGATGCAATGCTTTTTGTGCTTCACAGTATCGACATCCATCTTGAAACAACTGCCAATTCTGTTAGTATTATGTTTTTTCCACTTTCCTCCACTTTAAATGATCTCCCTTTTCTTCTCTATTCATAGTGCTGACTATTGGATAAATACTTTAATATATACGTTAATATTTAAACGTCCCGCATAGGTGTGGGATCCTTTTAAAGGATGACGAAGGATACAGTTTCATCCCAAGAATTGCGATCAGAGGGTCCGTTACACAATTCAACCGCTAACATTATGTTCACATGGAACACAGAAAGTTATCTTATGACATGGCATTTCAAAAATATATGTAAATTACTTCCCATAGAAGCTCCAAAACCCCCACCAACACCTGCTCGAGTGGGTTGGATTTATCTCTGAATCCGTTAATTATCTTCAATTTCGATTCGCTCCACACATTGCCGTGATTAAATTGCCCTGACCGTCTTTAACAAAAGCCGCTTGCTCACGGTGAACAAAAGTAGTAGGGCACCTGAATTCCATCGAAACAAAATCTAGTTGCCCTTTAACACATACTTGTTTTCACATGAGCCATGAGCCGAAAAGGGAAACTTCCGATTTACACTAATGGAGAGATTGCATCTTGATTCATCCATCCAGATGGTCACAATACTTTGCCGGCTCCTCAATTCTGTATTTTCAACGGCAGTTGAGTGTTTAAGTGTGTGTTTAAGTGTGTTTCAAGTGTTTGTCATGTGCCCTCTTCACAGGAGGTGCGTCTCCAGCCGCTCACATCGCTAACAGGCAGATGGATTTATACTAATGAAGAGCATTGCTAGCATCTGGCCTCATGTCACATGTCATTATAGCTGCATATGCAGTGAGAGAGGAGGTTGTTTTGGTTCATATTATTCAGCAGTTTCCCGGCAAAACCAATAGAATTCATCAAGCTCCACATTCATGAAATCCAAACAACAAATGATAACAAATGGAACATTAATCAACCCCACAGCATTTCCATATTGTATGTGACGGTGTGGAGTAAACAATGTGTCTGCTGTCTCTCATCGTTAACACATTAGGCCTGACTCTTCACGGGTAGTTTCAATGCATTTTTTGCTCACATTTTACCCTGCACATAACCGTAGGTCCAGTAACAAACATGTTAGCAATCCCCCATTATAGACTTATTCTTACTCAGCCATGCAGCATGCATCTAAATGTTGGTTTCAATCCCAATTTCCTAGAGACACCCAAGGCAGAGCAATATGCAATTAAAGTTCTGGAAACAACATTCAGCTTGATGTTTAGAATTACCCACAGACATTAATTTGGAGAGTTTTCATACTTCCTCTCATGCACGAATGGAATTAAGCAATTTAAAGAGTTTAATTTACCTTAAATTCTTGTCATAAATTATTTTTTTCTGAGCAGCCTGAGAAAGACTGAGCTGTGTAAGCTACAGGAGCTTGACGATGGATCAAAGGTGTGCCGGTGGATTGGCAGCTCAGATCCAGGCCCAGAAAACCACATGCAGACAGAGAGAACAAACAGGGGACCAAACCAGAAACACAAAGAACAGAAAACACTATTGATGAAGGACAGTCGCAGTCAGACCATGACATCATCAGCACTGACTTAAAAAAATTATCCAATCAATATTCCTCCACTGTCTCTCTGTTCACATTTCCTTGCCAATTGTCTGAAGCTCAATTGAAGTCTAGACTTTCCCCTTATATTTAAATACTTGTCATTGGGCAAGTCATCTATCCTCCACTATACTTTTCTCCTTTAAGGAGACAGATAAGTGGCAAAATATCACAGTCTTAAATGATTAATCTCTGTCCGTTGCATATTACATTTCTCACCTGGGTTTCTATTTTTTGTGTGTCTCTTCTGTCCTTGCCACTGAGAAGTTTATGTGAAGTGCATGTGTGTCTTCAGGTTACATCTACAGGAACTGCACCGAGGACGGATGGTCCGACCTCTACCCCTCCTACGAGGAGGCCTGCGAGTTCTCAAAGTACGAAGAGCCAGAGCCAGAGGTAGATGTTTGAGCCCATTATTTGTGCAGGAAAACAAACTACACCAACTGTGAGTCCATTCTCATTGGTGATCATATCTAAATGTAAAATGTGGTCTAGGATTCGCTCTATTCTCACAAGTGGCTTCAATAATCAGCCTTGCAACTGGAGCCCTTCATTATTCACATGATGGCTAGATTATAGGGCGAGATGACAGACGTTATTTCACGTGACTTAAAACCTGTGTGGTTGAGTGTTAAGAGCAGTAAACGGCAAATGCAGTACATGCTAACTTTCTCTTCATTGTTGTTTGTCTTTTGTTGCATTTCAGACGACATACTTCTCCAACTTCAAACAGGTGTACACTGCCGGCTATGCTACATCCCTCATCTCTCTCATATCGGCTATTTTTGTCTTCACTGTGTTCAGGTAACCTCAGACTGTGGATCAAAGAGCCTCCACAGCAGCACTCGTTACAGCATGTTGCCCCGAAGCAAAAGGGTTTTAAATGACATGTGCTCAAGTGAGGGGGCGCGCTATCAGTTGTAGTAATTATAAAACAATGTGATTAGTTTGGAGTACTTATTAAACCTGACCTTAAACCAAAACGAGTTCCAGCAAAACCTTTGTTTCTGCTAATGGTTAAGGGAATGCCAGATAAACTACAAACTATCATGCATGATACGCTGTATACAACCATGGGAGTATAGTGGAGGTAGCTTCCTAACTGCCCTCATTTTAATCTCAACTACACACCTGCAACGTTTTGTGACTGCATCTTGCATCCGTCAGAAAAGCATTGCTCTGTTCTGCAGGAAGTTTCACTGCACCAGGAACTACATCCACATCAACTTGTTTTTCTCCTTCATCCTGAGAGCGAGCGCGGTCTTCATTAAAGATGGCGTCCTTTTTTCTGATGAAAACCTGGACCACTGCTTCATGTCTACAGTGAGTGTGAAACCTCCCCACAGCTCCATTTTTCACCAGTGAAACAGCCCAAAACAGCATCTCAACTTGTAATGAAAGTCATATATGCATTGCCATGCTGGGAGTGACTATTCGTTGCCGATGAGAGCACCAATGATGAGTGTTTCTATTCTTATTTGAGTGGCCCCTCTCGTGTGGCGACGAGGGACCCGCATCAGCCCATCTCGTCGTGTCTCGGGGTCAGTAAGGTTATGAGAGAGAGCAGATGAGCAGCCAAACATGGTATTCTGAAAAAATCACACAGGGAGACACACATTCCGGCAGGAACTATGATGATATCTTGACGAGGGGATGATTTTTTATAAATCTGAGAAAATTAAGAGTAAAATACTCTTCATACTCATGGCTTTTTTCCCCTTTTTTTCCCTTTCGTTCTGCAGACGTCGTGTAAATCAGCCGTGGCCTTCTTCCAGTTCAGCATCCTGGCCAACTACTTCTGGCTGCTGGTGGAGGGCATGTACCTGCAGACGCTGCTAGCTCTCACCTTTGTCTTCCAGAAGAAGTACTTCTGGTGGTACATACTCATCGGCTGGGGTGGGAGATCCTTCCCTCTTACCTTTCTCTGTTTCCCTGCATTTTCTTCCCTCACTCCCATCGCTGTCTCTTGTTAGAGCTCTGCGTGGACCAGTAATGACCAGGTCACCCTTTTTACGCCTCTCAGGTCTACCAACAACAATCATCCTGGCGTGGATCCTCGCTAGAAACTTCTATGATGACAAGGGGTGAGCATATTAGCGAGATTATCAGGGAAATGAGGGAGCTCATCAAGCATTCTCCCAATAAGACCCAGTGAGATTTAGTTATGTATTCAACCGCCACAGGAGCTGGTATTTATGTGCCGTTGATTAAGTACTTAAATTACTTGGCGGAGGATCATTGTTGATGTTAATTTGGTTTCATACAGGCACACACTTGGCCGGGTGAGAATCCATGTTCGATTGACCTGCGTCTGTCAGTCTAATATAGATTAAATTGAACAGACACATTCCCAAATTCCGCAGAAGAAAACATTTTCCTAACACCTTTACTCAGCTCATTAGCATAGCAAATCTATTGTTTTTAACACAGCATCCTGGCAGCTGCGAGCTAGCGGGGATGACATGTTTTTCGTAATTGGATGAGTTAAATTGCACTTCTGTGACTGCCTTGTTTATCTAATTTGTATCCGTTGTGTGTCTCAGGTGCTGGGATGACACAGATGTGTCTTTCATCTGGTGGATCATAAAAGCTCCAATAACTGCATCGCTACTCGTGAGTAGAGGACAGCTACAGTGGGAGCAATTGAGGACATATTAGAGTCCTCAATCTTGGACAAGACCTGTAAGAGTCTTGGAGCCCACAGCGGCTATAGTAGACAGTTATTGTGGGTCCGCATGACGCAACGATACCTGGTCAAGAAAAGTCGATGCATTTTATACATGAAAGCAAGGAAACCTGAGCAGAGGGTTTCTTATCTGTGTCATTTAACAACACTGGTGTAACCACTGCACTTCTTTATTTACTTTTAACCCTATTTTCATTTGGTCTTTTTCCTCAATTTGAAATGGCTAATGTTTTTGCATTGCAGCCCAAGTCATTACTGACCCCTCTGTCGGTCAGCGGAAAGACTTGAGTGCTGCATCCTTCCCCTATTCACGTATTGTCACCCATCAGTGACGAGCTTCAGTGGAAGGAAGCAGTGCTCAGCGGCTCATGCTAATAACGCTATATGCTACACTGCTCGCCCCCTGCATGCAGGTTGGCAGAATTCTTACTTGGAACATCATCATCATTCCCAAGTGCCTCACAAATATGAACACCTAAGACAGAATTGGGGGATATTGATTTATAATAATTTGTTTTGCACAAATTATTATAAGCTATTGTGTTAGATATGTATGCATTCTCCACCAAACAGCTCCATTAGTTGCACTGACTGGACAAGGGACACAGGCATCGACATTCTCTTGTCCTGCGGTCCTTGTCACTGCAAGTAGGATGCGATAATACAGTCTGCCAGCAAATAAAAAAGTCTTCCATTGCAGCGGAAATACATTTTCTTGACAGCTCTTTGGCGTTTGTTTCTTGCAGGTGAACTTCATCATCTTCATCAATGTGATCCGCATTCTGGTCCAGAAGCTGCGATCACCCGGTGTCGGGGGCAACGACGCTAGTCACTTCAAGTGAGAGGAGAACACTTAATTCTCCAGATGATGGCAAAACATTCAGTATGTTCATCCAGAGTCTTTTCTTCCCCAATGTGTGCAGGCGGCTGGCCAAATCCACTCTGCTCCTCATCCCTCTGTTTGGGATGCATTACATGGTGTTCGCCTTTCTGCCAGAAAACACAGGAGCAGAGGCTCGAATATTTATAGAGCTCGGCCTTGGATCCTTTCAGGTAAAACACGCTAGAAAATGAAGGTGCAGATTAGAGTATTACTTTAGTATTTGTCAACCTGGACCCTGTCTCCCCCAAGAAGTACTGATGGAGCACACTGCAGGCGGCAGGAGCTAAACGGGCTGCAATGATATTAAAATTGGGCCATTGAGAGGCTGAGATTGTTCGGAAAAAAACAATCAAGTTTAATGTCTCTGGAGAGTCATTTCCGTACGAGTTCAATAGCAAAAACAAGCATTTTTGATGGATGTACGCAAGTTGACGACAAAATTGGACTACTTTCAAAAACTGTTAGTGCCCATCAGTATCCCAAAAGAAAATGTGCGTAAATAGGTTTAAACACAAGAAAAGTCCCCCTCTAACCAACACAAATCCAAAATGGGTGTATTAACTTTTAATTAAATTAAATGTAAAATTCACATTTTTCCTGACACATATTTGTACATGACATGTTTTGTGATAACATATTTCTGCTCTGCAGGGATTCGTTGTGGCTCTGCTCTACTGTTTTCTAAATGGCGAGGTAGGTAAAAATATCATCTTGAATTTGTTTTGGATGATGGGTAATTTAAGTCATATTTGTTTGCACATCTTACTCAATCAGCCACCCCTTGTATCGTTTTAGCAGTCAAATATTGTATTAACACTTGTGGTATTGTAAGTAAGTCATTGTCTTTCATTAATTAGACAACATTAGTTCCCGTCCAGCTGACAGGCAGCGCTTGAGTTGAGTTGAGTTTACCTTAACTTTTTATTCAGAGAAAAGCCTTTGACTCATTCTGTACAACAGCGCCCTCTGGTGAGTTTCTGATACATGCAAATGGGTACTTTAAAACAGTGGTCGGTGTGTCAAGGAATTGCTATAAAAGTATTATATATCTACAAAATGTTCCACTTTCGCTGAGGTAAATATCTTAACTAAAACTCAGTCCTTGATCAAAACATAGCTTTTTGAAAATATGTAACCCTCCAAATGGCACATGAATAGAAAAATATATTATTTTAGGTGACCTAAATGCTTGGAGGGATTTTTTAATTTAGCCTCACTAAAACCAACCTTGATGAAAGACCTGCACAGCCACTCCGCTGTTTTCACTTCGTTTGGTTGATTGGATCTCTGAAGAAAAGAGATCTGATATTTCTTATATTCAGGTTTTCTTTTGTTGTATTTCTCTTTGTTGCTTTTTATATGGACTCGTGTGTCCAGAAATTGAGCAGAATAATAAGCAGGTGACATGATGTCTGCAGTCTTGTTCTTTCTGACAAGATATTTCTTTTATTGTATAATACGTGTGTGTTCAGGTGCAGGCAGAACTGAAGAAGAGGTTTTGGAAGTGGCAGACTCAGAGGTACCTGAGCTACAGCAAACGCCGGCGTACGTTGTTCACTGAAAGCAGCACAGTGACACAGATCTCCGTCCTGGACAAATCCAGCCCCAAAGACCAGCCGGCCTCAGAGACGCGTCCCCTCGCGCCCTGCGACGTGTCTGCCGTCTGAGGAGCAGCCGCCTCTACTCAGGTCCTGCTTTACAACACCTGCTTGCGTTTGGACTTTGTCCCGAGCGTTGAATGTTACCGTACATCTTTTCAGTTTAAAAGCTTTGGAGTTACCCCTCCTCCCCGTAGCCATGACTACTAAATTGTTTTTTTCCCCTTTCAGAAAAGTACCGATGTCAAGTTCACAAAGAATATGTCTTCAAACATCAGATTTATTTTTTTCATTACACATATAATGACACATATAACGACATGAAGAAAGGTTTCTCATTTGGAGTTTAATTTTGAACAACTGTGATTAGTTTACTTTGTCACAGCACCCATGAGTCCTTTAAGGCTCAACAGTAAAGTGTTTGTGTTGCTCATATTTTCCCATGCCGAGCAATTCGTGATAGAAAGTGTGCGTCATCAAAACGCCAGTTTGAAGATACCATGTTATTGTTGCTCTAACTCATTCAGTGCCACCGGTTTAACAATTATAAACAGCAAATGGAGCGTGTCCATGTTACCATCAGTGGTTCTGTAAGCAACATGTTGCACATCTGGAGCACTAGACTGTAAAATCTATTTATTTGTCTGATTACTGTTCTCATGTTTGTGTGAAGTGACAGTTTCTCCAGAATAAATAATCATAGAAGACAGATTATGTGGGATTCAACAACGTGCTTTAAAATGACAGTTTGTGTTAATCTTATATATTGTAAAATGTGGAGAATATTTGACTGTGTATTCCTTTATCTGTCTGCAAAGGTTTAGTAATGCAGGGTCTGATTGTTAACCGAGAACTTCTTCCCGCTGAGAAATCATGTGAGGAGACTTGTCGAGCTGCTCTCCAGTTACGGCTTGGCATGTCGTACTTTCCATCTATCTAATTGCGTTCTTCTGTGTTGACTTGGGAGACAAATTACAGTTCACGTACATGTGGACATTTCAATATAGTGTTATTCATAGAAGGAAATGCTGTATTACTCAGCCACAAACCGCTACAGTGCCTTTATCATGCGTAGGACTCACTGTTTCTCTGCCGTTTGCATTCAAAATCTGTCTAACAAAATCATATATTTAAGATTGTGATACTACACCGTGTACTTGAATCTTTGCCGTGCTGCATAACGGATGTGCTTCAGTGTTGTGTCCGATTCAAAGTGACGACGATTGAAAACATTATTGGAAAAACACAAAGCTTTCATCACATTTTTAATTGTGCAGCGAGGACGTGGAGGATGCTGAGCATGTTTTCATGTGATGTTTCTTAAAGAAAGCTTTGCATGTCATGTCTGGGCTTTGCTTTTTAGATTACACCCATTTTTGGTCTCATTTCTATTTTCTTACTTGACAAAGTGACGTGTAAGTTTCTATTGCAGGTCGCAGTTTACTACATGAAGCAAAGTTTCTCATTCGTATTTCTTTTATTTGGACAAAGCAAAGCTGCTGTTTTTTACATGTTTTCATCTATATTTGCATTCGCCGATGACTGCGCAAGTTCAGTTTGTCCATCCATCCGGCCCGTCCTCGTGAATGTGAGAATTTCATCAAATTTGTCACAAACGTCAGCGTGAATTCCAGGAGGAATTGATGGGATTCTGGTGGTCAAAGGTTACTGTTGGATACGGGATGAAGCAATGAAGTTATGATATTTTGGATAGACCGTCTAAAGCTTGAACTGACAGCACGATGGGCACTAATTAGTCTTTTTTCCACATTCCATGAAAAGATAAAAACGAATAACATCTGTCCATCTGTCAATACTCTCTAGCCTCCCGTGTCTGTGGCTCTCAGTATGCAGGCCCAGTAGTTAAATAAGTACATCTTTTAAAAAACTACTCAGAAACGTGCAGCTTCTTTTTTTCACAACTGCTGTTAAATTTCGCAACTGAAAACACACAGGATTTATTGGGGTCAGTTTTCTACAGTGGATTAATAGACATTTTATTACTTTTTGTCCAAAAACTCTTCCCAACATTAGTGGTTAGCAGTGTTGCCTTGGGTGATTAATCCACTGCTGGAAATAGTCCCCCAATAAATGTCTTCCTGTTGGGGTGACATTTAAAGGGACATGCTGCTCAAGGACATTATTTAGAAAAAACTCAAATAAAATCATTTATTTGAGTTTTTTAAAGAGCTGAATCTCTCAGCGTAGTGGGACTGAGGGCCACAGACATGGATAAAGCTAATAGGATTTGTACAATAAATGAAAGAATAAAGAATAACATCAGCCTTTTTTCTTTAGACCAGAAGACTCTTGACCACGCACAGCGACATTGAGCCAACAAGTTAAAAACATTTATTGTCGATACTTCCATAGTGTACAAAAGGAACCCGTTGAATGTGACACAGATCAAATGGTGAACTATGCAGTGAAAGATCAAATTGGAAAGGAACTCATGAGCAGACGGGAGTAGTCTTTAAGTGACTTTTACATTCAGCCATCAGCACACAAACTGCTCAGCCCCATTTTATTTATTGTTTCACCTCTGGCTGACTTAAACAACAGCAATTGGTAAAATGAAGCAATACAATAAAAAAACACCATCGAAAAGCAAAAAAGAGTAAGATTTCCAACCAGTATTCTTGTCATGCTATGCAGTAAAAATCATTAAGAACAAATATAGGCGTTATAGCAGTTTTGTATGACGCTTTACTTTTCCTCATGTCTACAAAGATTAACATTCAAGGGAAAAGCATTCAATGTGTCTGATGGGACTAGAGCTACAATTCGATAAATTGTTCACAGTTAAAACCCAATATTCATGTTCAAGCTTATTAATTGCCTCCTCCATTTCGTAAACAAGTACACAACTCTGATTCCCTTCATGGGCGGAAACCTCCACCCTCCCTTGTGTTAACATTTGCTGATCAAACGAGATCAAAAACGATTCAACACGCATGCCTCAGCCTGTGAGAGCGTCCAGAGGCATTTCAGGAGGCTTTATACTTTTAGCAAACACGATCACCATTAAGAAAAATCTTCTTTTTTCTTTTTTTTTTATATTAAAACAATCACAGCGTTTTTTCACTTTGAACCACAAAAGACTCCATTTACAAGGTACAACGTTGGCAGCTTGTTTCTGTCTCGGACATTTAAACTGCGGTTTATTTAGTTACAAAGATGGACTGCAGCCCTTTAAAGGACTTTAACTACTTTATAGGTCAGACACTGTAATGAATATTTATCCATATAATAGTAATAGGAACATGTTTCTCGGACATCAACATCGTACTGGCAATATAAGGCTCCCACTTCCATATTAACACTAAAGGAAAAATAATTAATATATTCATATGAATCGACAAAATTAGGCTCATGAGATTGTCAAAATGTGAAAAATGAACTCAACTGAACTTTCAACTGGACCAGAGTGGAGGCGGTGATTGTCTGGCCCAAAACATCACAATATGAAGCAGGACCACCTGCGGCTGTCTTTAGACCTATTTAGCTCAGGTCACACTGAATACACACAGCACAACAGACCACAAATAAGCTGATTTGGTAGTTTGCAGGCCAAGGGCTGTGCTTTTACAGTAAAACTTGTGACAACTTTTGGTAGAAGAGTGAAGGGTTTTGCACATGTATTACTCCAGATGTAAACATCTACAGTCTATTCCAGTTCCAAAATTTGATCTGAACCAATTGGTAACATGCTGAATCATCCTGGTAATTTGGAACATAAACTTTCTCTAATGTGCTGTTATTCCGTTATTATATGTGTCTGTAGATCACAATATACACATAACCACAGTTACTAAATGATGAAGCTAAAAATGGAGCTTGTTACATTTTAATCTAGAAGTACGGCTGTTATTTAGGACACAGTATTCTTTATTTTTAAATAATATATTTTTAATAAAGCCTGACAAGACAATAGTATTTTTTGCTCTTTAATCTATGAAAAATAAATATTATTTAAAGTTTTGTCAGCTGACAACAAAACCGTATTATATTCAATTTGGCACATATATTTTGATTATTATCAGTCATAAATGTGTGTATCCAGAAAAGAAAGAACAATTATTTTACAATCAAAGAAACAGTAATTATTTGTGTTAGAGTTCTACTGTTCTAGTTTGTCTTCAGAAGACATTTCAGTATTTGTAGTGGTTTGCAAAAGAGCTCTCTTCTTACGTTAAGTCATATTTAGTTAAAATTATGAATACAGCCTCTTAGAGAAAAGTCTTTTCCGTTGAGGTACATGACACATTTTCCAGTCCAGCAACGTCAAAGAAAATGTGTCAGAACAAAAATGCAAACTAAAACCAAACAAAATATTAATGTTATATTAATTTTCTTTCTGTAATATATACTGTTCTGTACATTGACGGAATTTATACATTTTTGCACTGCTTTATTTTAAACGCTATTCGGTCGTATATACTATGAAGGCCTCCAGGTTTAAAATACTGGTTTAGTCATCTTCTTTAAACCACTCGCGTGTTTAATCGTTTTCTTGATTTTGCAGGTTTGTTTTGAAATTAAAAAGAGAACTGTCATTTTTTGCTATTACTTAAATCAACAGAAGTTAAAATACTTATTTTGTGCTTAAAGGCACTTTTGGAGACACATGGTAGAGTTGCACGTAGAGATTCAGAGGACAGTTGAGACCTAAAGAAACATCTCCAGTTGCGAAGCAAACTCAGCCTCTGCAAACCGATACGGCCAAGTAAGAACTCACTAAGGATGTGATCACTTGGTAAAACTTGGTAAGTCCCACTCCAAAAGTCTAACATGTATCTCACACTGCTTTTCAAGCCGAAAAGAGAGCAAATACTGATTTTTTCTCCAAAAACATTGAAGTGCTGTGATATTACCGATAGTCTACACCTCAACAGTGAAACAGTGAAGACGCTCAGCTTTACAAAGTGACAAGAGAATCAGTATTACAGCCCAATACACACTGTTTCATGAATAAAAGGGAAAGAAAACACCCAGTTAAACACTGAATTCCCACCTAAAGAAGTAAAAAAAACACATGGGCAACAAATGCCATGTCACACATGCAATTGAACTCATGACACTTTAGTCATTGGTTCATTTTCATTGACATTTTCTGTATTAACGGCTGATTGAAAGAGAGGTTCGTGTTTGTAGTGGTAGCAAACACCCAAAGGCCCTTTCAGTCATCTTCTGACCCGGGGATGGATTTTTTTCTCTCTTTTTTTGGTATTTCACATTGATGTAAAAAATATGGCCATCATAAATACTGCTTTATCAGGTTACATCTAAGGATCTAGTTGTCTTTGATACCCATTGTATCGTTTTACTCCCTTCACACATGAGGGAAAGGCTTGTGCCAGTAGTTGGAAATAATACTGAGCTGTCTGAACATGTGGTGGGTATGACTCGGGGTCCATAATCTACCAGCTGAGCCGTAGTTTAGTTCGTACCAGTGATTTCATGAGAAAAAGTTCATTTTTCAAGACTGAAAGCGTCCGTGCGAACAATCGTTCTTTAAAAACTAAATGTGGTTTAACAAAACTACTCATCTGAGGTGTTTACTGTACATCAGGGCGATCAGATGAATAGCAGCACAGGCTGAAGCGTCCTGGGGCAACAACAACACTGGACATTACTCTTCCTATGATGCAGCGAACGATAGCGTTTCCATAGACCCTGCTTGCCTGTTAAATGTCACCTTCTTTCAAAAGTGACACCCTTTGTAACGTAGATTTTCAGATCAGAATGTGTGGTTTCGACGGCCGAACTGAGATAACCCTGATGGCATCACTGCGACGTCTTTGGGGTCACAGCCCGATAAGAACTCAAGGAGACCAGCGAACGGATCTCCACATGCAAAACCAGATGCCCCATTTGAGATATTTACAGTGTTGTCTGTCTCTGCATGTCGTGTCTGTATCTAGACAGAAATACAGTGTGCAGCTAGAGTCTAAAACCCAACTTGAGGAAAGGCTGACACTGGAGGAATAACGCAAAAGCTTTCTCAGACGGCCTGGAATGATCCCGTGAGAGGGCCGCAGTGATGAACTGGTCCCCCGTGCTGTAACCGCAGCAGCAGACAAACACTATGTACAGTATATACAGAGATGACCGGACTTCCTCTACGAGTCACAGCCTGACAAGACACTACATATACACTCAAATTCCTCATCATGCCCGTTGAAGCCGAGAGGAGGCTCAGGAACAGGTGGCTCGAGTTTGTGTTGTCACCCATGAGCCTAGGTCAAAAGGTCGGGACATTAACGAGAGTCATCATTTGGCACCTGGCGTTGAGGTCGGGTCATGTTTAAGGGGTGCGGCGGGTCAGACGGGAGGTCCCAGCGGGTCGCTGGAGTTGAGTTGGGTTTCCATGGTGTTGCCGCCCGGGTACGGGTTGGGGTACGGGTTGAGGAACGGGTCGGCGAGGCTGGTCATCGGGAGGTCGGCGGGTCTGGCGGTGTCGGGTGCGCAGGCGGCGGCGGCGGCCCCCCCGGCGGTGCCGCTCAGGTGGCCGGGGTCTCGGCCTGCAGGCTGGACATGCGGATCTGCGAGCTGCTCTTGCTGAGGATGGACAGCTGCGTGCCGCCGTTCACCCCACTGCTCGCCAGCGAGGGATGCCGGTGCTTCAGGTCCACAGCAAAGTACCTGTTCACCGTCCAGCTGCGCCATTTCCTCTTGATCTCCGATTGCACCTTGGGGGATATACTTCACAAGGTCATTATTAATGGACCTCGCTGGAAAGAGACAAGCTCACTGTCCTTTCATGCTAGCCGTGTATTTACTGTAGCTAAGGCTCAGATTTAGATTTGCACTGAAAAACTGAAAAAAATGTCATGTGCTCACGCTCCCAAACTCTCAGTTAAACCACAATCTGCTTGACTAATTAATTCAAATACAAATCCATATTTTGGTTTAAAACATAAACTGAACATGATTAACTTTATCCAATACCACAAGTGCATTTTAAAATCCCATCTGAACATTTGCCGAAACACTGTCGGTCAGTAATGTTGTTATGTATGTTTAATGAGATTCACAAAGCTGGTCTAATAGTGTCAGCAAGAGTGTTTACCTCTCCGTTCAGGAAGCAGTAGAGGACGGCCACGACGAAGCCCTGAGGAGACACAGAGGACTCAAGCATGAGACAGAAGCACTGCAAAAACAAGGCGTCGCAGCAGAAAGATCTAAATGTCCCCAGCTCGTGTCCACATCTCAAGTATCCCCATCCTTCCGGTTGCACATTGATTGTTCTTTTCTAAATCCAGGCCGTGGCGGAGAAACAGTCACCTGGAAGGATCCGAGGCCCAGCTCAAACACCAGACGCTCCCGCTTGCTGACGTTCTCGGGGGAGAAGGCAAACACGGTGTAGTGGATCCCAAACAGGGGGATCAGAAGCAGAGTGGAGCGAGCCAGCCTCCTGCAAAACAACACACTCGCAATTATCAACGAGACTGCAGCGAGCGCGTCCTCGTTACAACAAGCTCACACAACCATGGCAACGGTTCGTTTCAATACATCCAACAGCACATTTAGCACAAGTAAAAATAGTACTGTTAATGTGAATGGAAGCTTTTTATACTTTATTTATGTATTCTTATATTCAGATTTAAGAAGCAGTTTGGTTATGAAGTCATCTGGACTTCAGGAGAGTAGAAGAAGAGTAGGCAATTAATAAATTCATATTAATGTCGGACAGGGTCGACCAAAAAGTAAACGCAAACAGACTTACAGGTAAATACTGGATTCATTTCCACCGATATCTGGGGATTGTAACTTTTGGACCAGGATGACGATGATGCCGATGAAGAGCACAAAGTTGATCTGTGGAGACAGAAGTGTAACGTAGGGACCGCGTCTTTGGAAACGACTGGGTTATTTTGACGTCGTCACACCTGCCACAGAGCAGCAATGACTTACCATTATGGAAGCGAGCACAGGTCCCTTGATCACCCACCAGATGGCAGCGTGGTCGTTCATGTCCCAACAGCTGAAAGAGCAGAGGGCACAACAGCACAGTCAGCGCAGGAACAGACCCCCTCCCCACACCGCGGCCTGGTGTCCATAACTCACCCGCTATCATCAAAGTGCCACCTCAGCACCGCCCAGATGATCACGCACACCGTGGGGGTCCCTGTGGCCAACACAAATACGGACATCAACAAAGACGTGTCCACTCGTCAGGTGAGAAGTCTCGCGTGCGTCGCTAGTTCTCTCACCCCAACCGATGATGATGTACCAGTAGAAGTATCTCCTTTCAGGGAAGAAGGTCTCCACCAGCAGGGTGAACAGGTACAGACCCTCTATGAAGAGCCAAAAGTAGTTCGAGAGGACGCAGTAGTGGAAGAATATCATCACTGCTCGGCACTCGAGCTTCGGGGACGGAGAAAAAAAAAGGAAAGGGAAGAAATGTCAAACGAATGAGGAACAAGAAACGACCAATGTGTGGGCGAGGGCGGTCGGGCCTGTGGGCGTTACTCACAGTGTGTATGAAGCAGTGCTCGCTGTCCTCTTTGGCGTACAGAACGCCGTCTTTGATGAAGACGGAAATAGCTCTCAAGATGAACGACACAAAGAGGTTCATGTGGATGAAGTTCCTGGTGCAGTGCAGCTTCCTGTGAACACACAGCGAAAACACCCTGAATGCCACGGAATACTATTTGTTAGAGAAAACACTCATTCTGTTCTGTCATCAGTAAGTACGCTGTGGTTCATCACAGTCACACTGTCGTAGCAGATGGTCGTGACATGTAGAGTGATGCTAGTACTAGGAAATAATAGCAGCAGTACTGGTAGTAGCAACAGTGGTATTAGTAATACTTAAATAGTCTTTATGACATTCATTGAACGGTCTGCCAGGTCATTTCTCATATTAATCGGTTAACTACATCCAGAGCAAAACAATGTTGACATGATCACTTTGAAAAGGGTAGAGGTAATGATAACAACCTTCGATTCCCCATGTTTCCCAGGGACACACACACACACACACACACACACACACACACCAGCTGCAGTACGTCCCCGGACCCCTGGAGGCCTCACCTGAACCTGCACAGGATGACCATGGCCATGGTGAGGGAGACCAAAGAGGTGCTGTAGCCCACGGTGTACAGAGCCTTCACTGACACGTAGTACATGTCCTGAGACACAAGCACGACACAAACTGAAATGGGTTTCTTTTATTGGCAACGTCTCGTTACTGCAGCCGCAGACGGTGGTTTACTAACCAGATGAGTGCCGTTGCCTTCCTCATACAGGCAGGCATCGATGTAATAAGGGAAGGTCTCTGTCCAGCCGAACTCAGTGCAGTTACGACTCACCTTCCCCACCTCTGTGGACAAAGTAGGAATGATGGGTTTTATTTTCATTTCAGAAAAGCACCTGCGTATTTCACAAATTAGACTGCAAAGAGACAAAAACAGGGAAGACGCCAACGGTAAATAAGAATTGTTCACTGACCAAAGTCTTCGTCACTCATGAACTGAGAGAAGAGTTCGGGACAGTTGACTTCGACCACCTCACCAATCCTGGCGGGCTGCCAGCACGTCAGGTTGTCCCACATCCACGGACAGCCTGAGGACACAACAGGTGGACAAACACATTGTGGAGCAGTTTTGGATCATCGAGCGCCATGTGGTCACGTCGGGGAAAGAAAGGCCCCACCTGCAGCTCATTTATCATTACTTCAAAGTCACAGATCCTTGAAACTGGCATGCGGTGACTGAAATGTCCGGCCGCATACCAGCACCCACTAGGAACAAATACATTGTCTCTTTAACTCGCATGTATTTGTATATGTTGCTACATCTTTTCATTTCAAATAAAATGGTCGAGAGACGTCCGCAAGAGACAATGCCAACAAACTTGTGTGATGATTGGAGTTATATATGGTATAATATTTTAAAATCCATTCAGATGGACACAAACATGTAGGTTAGCCGTTTAAAATGGCCATACGGCGTTGGTATAAACCATGGTAAGCATCAGTAATGGCCACGCCCGCTCTCTTTAGTGTGTGTCACGGTGTGGTTCACTTCATGTTATATTTTGTAGTTTTCTCCCACTTGTGTCCCCGGGTAACTTCACGTCCTGACCCCTCACAGTGTGAGACTCGCTTAACCTTCTGCTGCTGTGGCCAATATGACAATTTCGCAACGAAAATGGAATGGTTAGAAAGACAGCGCTGGTTTGCTGGGCTTGTAGAACGCAGCCAGGCCAGGCGTTCAACGCGCTAACGACGTCTAATGCAGTAGTTTCATGGCGTAATCAGGCGCCCTGCGATGCCCTCTCTGGGACTGAAGATCCATCAATCCTCAAACGCGCTTTTACCTTCAAATTTCATTTAAACAGTAGAGGATTCATTTTACACCCTGTTGCTCTGTTTTTGGAGGATCACCTAAAACCAAAAGAACCTTTTTCAACCAGGTTCGGAAGGAGAATTGGCACAAAGCCCCATGACCTTCATCCATCACACGGAGAGACGTCTGTCACTCGCTGTCTCTGATCAGCCCTCGTTTGAAGGATCATCATTGTGAGATGCGGTTGACTAAAACCTCAGCCCCTCCCTCAACTGTGGTTTGAAATATGAGAATGAATTGCTTTGCCGGATTTGTCTGTTGGCCCTGTTATTTATGCGTAGCGTTAAGTCTTTCTGCAGGACACAACAGTACCAGTCAGGGAACGCAGTTCAAGGCTACACAAACGCTGCCGGAAAGCCTACCGAATTCTGGATCATTCCCAGGATCGTCCGAGGCAATCATCTCCATGCATTTCTCCTGCTCCATCTTGATCACACAGTTAGATGGCGCCTGTTGTCTCGAATCCTGGGAAACACACACACACACACACACGCACACACAAAGAGAGAAAGAGAGAGTTAAAGATTAGAGCGCAGAGGAAGGGCCCAAAGGTAAAATGGATAAGGCTGCTTCATTAGCTCCACCATGCAGTTCACACCACAATGTGGGAGAGGTCTCAGCTCTGGGATCTGTTTATTCACTCAACCAATTAAACAAACCATTTCAGGGTTTATGGCCATTCCCCCAGGCTAACTGACCCAGAAGAGGGCCGTCGCTGTAGGGGAGGCAGGGCAGGGAAACCATTGAAGACGGGCTCTTTTCACACTAGACCGTGACGGGCGTCACACACACACACACGTCTGTCTTTAACAGAGAGGGGACTGACGTCGGAGAGGGCTGTCTCTGGTGAGAAGACGAAAACTTGTGCCTCCATGTTGGCGTCAGACCGAGAGACGTCACGCAGCGGCTTTACGAGGCGGAGCAGAGGAGCAGTGGAGGATTCATCCGCTGACGTCAGCGGCACAGCACCACCCGCTCGGGAGCCAGCAGGATCAGCAGGGTAATAAAGAGGCGGGCGCTTCGGGGGCCCCGTGTGGAACAGGTGTCGACGCTCTGCCTGTATCCACGAATCTGGCCGATGATTTATGCGCAGCACTCTGCAGCAGCAGCTGTAGCAGCTGCAGCAGCAGCGTGTCTGCGTTGGTGCAGTTTGAATCCAGTGAACAGGGAGTGAAAGTTGAGGACGTTCTGTGGGTCTCAGTGTGGACGGTTTTCCATCTTAAGCCATTGGTCAGTCGGTAAAGGAATGGAGACACTGGTCAGCCATAGTATTCGGTTTGGAAGAACAAATAATGTTGTGGATTTAAAGCTGCTCAATACCAATATTTTTATACCAATATGTTAGTGCAATATGACAATCCTCCGTAATCAGCAAAATGCCTTCTAAATTATGATCTCAGGGAAACTGATTTTCTCTCCTTGCAGGTTTGAAACATGGGACTGACATTTTTCAATTTAAACAAAGCAATGTTTATAAATCCTTTATTTGTTTCTGAGGTAATTAAACTCGAGGAGTGAATGAACGTTACGCTACGTTTTATTTCCACAATAACTGCAGAGCCAATTGGTCGTCAGTGGTCGAGGCTGATTAACGTGTAACCACCTTGTTAAAGGTCTAATGCATCCACACAGGTGTTTTCACGCAGTCCAACTGTTTCTTTAATTTCAACAAGTCAGTAATTTGACCTTTCCTTTACAGGTGAACCAGCTCTACAGAGAGAAGGCCTTCAGGTGAAATAAGTGGGAAAAGGCAGAGAAACACAAAAAAAACATGATGGATCTATAGCTCGTTGTTGAAGTATGACGTTGAAACATGTTTTTGTGTTTGAGATTTCATCAACACAGACTTCCTGACGTCGTGTCATTATCTTCTCTTTTCGTGGTTGTATATTAAAGTCGTCCTGTACTTCATTCTTTGGCACTGAACGCCGCCAGTGAGCATAAATTGATGCAGGTCAAACGCGTATGAACTTAATTTGTTGGGTTGCAGATTGATGGTCGGGAGCAGCAGGAGAGCCAAACACACTGCGTGAATCTTGGAAGGTTTATTTCTCAGATGTTTAATCTCCTGCGACTAATTATATTGTATATAACTTTCTCCCCTTAATAAATCCACCATACGTAACTAGGTCGAGCTGTGCACAGCCAGGATTCACACCACATGTACATGAGCGTGATAGAATATCTACTGTATCTATCTCAATATTTAAAATGAGTCAGGCTACTTAACTCCATTATTTTATGCTGTACTGTTCATGATACTACAATTTAGTATTGTCTGGGATATTCTCAGTAAATGCGAGCAATTTGTTTGGGGTTTTGAAGTTGCAGTGTGTAGAATTTAGGGCAGTAAGCAGAAATCAAAAACACTATATCTTTTCATTGGTCAAACAACAGCAGCAATTACGTAATTCTAGACCCAGAATAAAACGTTTCTTCACTCAGGCTGGGATATGCCGCTGCCTTTTTTTATTCATGTAGTTGTAAGGTTGCAGATTCCAAATGACCACCTGTCTCCAGAAGATGGATAAATGAAGCTTCGCTGTAAATTCAGTCAGGAAGACTGGACATGCTGTCCTGTTCCCTGGTGGCCTCCTCTCTCCCTGGGGGCGTACGGCCTGCTGATTAGGGGCGGGGGCGGGTAGTACCACCCAACCAGACGTGAGTGCCGTTACCGTAAACCAATTGCTAATCGGTGCAGGCAAACGTTAAAAACTGTTCTCCTCTCTTTTGCTGTCAGTTCTCATTTTAGCACGCACCAAAGGCGACCCACCACCACACCTCCAATCTACAGCAGAACTTGGAGATTGGAGCAACTTATTCTCTACCACCACAACCCAGTTTCACAGCAAAACGTTTTGCTGTGAAACTGTGTTGACCACCACCACAAGTGTCTGGATATACCTCATCTCGGCTCGGCATCACGTCCCCTGGTCTATCCTCAAACAAACTAGCCTCAAACGAGTTACGCAATATGAATATTTATGCTTGTTATAACAAAGAATTGTCCAAAACTGTTATCAGCTGCTCTGACAGCAAAACAAATATTTGGAAATAATTGTAATAAATAATGATCTCCATTAAATCCCAATGTTCTATTGAAAAGCTGGAGTTAGGAGCTCCAGGCATGCTTACAGAGCACTGACCCTGGGGGACGCCCACACACGGCATCACGGTGAGTCATCAGCTCTCAGATCTCTTATAACCGGCTTAACTTACATTCGGCAGTATTTTAAAGGTTTCCTGTGTTTTAAATGTCGTATTTCCAAAATTCAACATTCATGTTGTTTCCACATGAAATTCTCCGTAGGGACTCATGTCTGCACCGATTAACCCAATGATCTGTATTATTTGGAAATACGTTCAACTTAAAGATTAACTTGTCCAAGAGATTAGTTGAGTGATTTAGAGAAATTTTCTTCTTCAACTTTGTTCGTCCTCACAGCTACACATTCAACTTGCTGCTGTCGTCCACCATTTTCCCTCCGGCTCGTCCCTCAGTTTCTTAGAAAACACTTCCGCTCAAGGTTGATGACTCACATTTAACAACAGTAATAAAAGCTCGCTTTCCTCACAGCTTTTAATGGAAAGGAGAGAGGAGACGAGACGAGGGGAGAGTACAGAGGACCGTCTCTTTTGTCGAAGATTTAACAGACAGGAATAATGTTGAATAAACAATGAATAAATGATGAGCGTGCAACCTTATCCACACACTGATCATTGAATTATTGATGAAGACACTCCAAACGCTGACTTCAACTATGGGAACGACTTGAAGTGCACCAACATCAGGACTCGACACCTGTTAGCTGAATTTATTCATGCAAAGCTCCACCTGTCGCCGGGTCTGCTTCCATGATTACTCACACACGGGAACTCGGCGTGGAGTAGACATGTTGTCCTTTTAAAAGTACAAGGAAACAAAGGAGAAAAGCGATTCAAAAAAGGAACTCACCGAGGGTAAGAAGAGGAGGAGGAGGAGGGTGAGGATCAGCGGGTTGACGTTAGTTAAACACATGTTGCTTTTCTTAGTTTCTTCCCAACATAAAGTTGTGAGAGCCGGACAAAACAGGACGTCAGCTGACCTTCACACCTGAAAAACACAAGAGTGTGGGACATCAAGACACTGTGTCCACATTGTGTCTCCATATTGTCGGACCAGGACATAAATATCACATTATAGAGTATCTTTCGTAAAAGCTTTTTTCAAGTGTGTATATAAATCTCAACAACCATAAGAGCACTCTGGGGATGTTTTAACCGTGATGTTTATAAAATCTCCATTTATATCTGGGTCTGTCTGTGTTGAGCTCTTTAGTTTACCTTCTACTTTGCTCTTAAGCCTTATTTTAGTGATCGTTTTTAAGATGCTTCAAACAGCACACTTGTGCGAAATGCAGGTTTAAAATGTTGAATATGCTCATGAGATGAAATGGATAAAGAATAAAAATGATAACAAAGCATTCTGTAAATTCCCCCTTGTTGCCTGGCCCTCTTGTATTTCCCATTAACGTTTTTGGGGATATCCTGCAAACAATTCACTAACCAGAAAAAAAAAGGTTATCCTACTTCCAGCTCGTCAAACATGATGATTTATTTTGCTGATTCTTCCTCTTATAGCGAAATAAATATGTGCATTTTGGACCCTTGGTTGGGTTTAAACATGTCCTGCTGGGTTCGGAGAATGCTATTTGACATGGTAGTGAATAAAAGGGCAGATAAAGGAATTCAGTAGTTGCAGCCAAACGTTTGGACTGGAGGTCATTTTTGAAAACCGCATGTCTGCAATGAGCCCATGTGCATGGATCCCATCGAGCCCGGGGGGAGGGGGGGTTCACATGAGTAAAGCCAAGTAGCAGGACTGAGCAGTCAGGCCTCGTCCCAGAGGGAGAGCTTGGCATTCCTACTTTACCGAAACCCTGCCAGCAGCAAGCCCCTCCCCCTGCCGTTGTCAGGAGCAACAGCTGAGCGAGCTGCTGAGTTTGGATCTGAACTGAACCACGTGGACCTAAACTTCCTTCTGCTCCATCTTCTGCTCAATCTGTAAATAGATTCACATGTTATCATGCACTTTGGTTTTTAAATGATGGCAGACATTGAACCTTTATTGAATTTAAACTCTGCTACAGAAAAATACACATTTCTACATCCAAACGGGACACATTTGATTTGAGTCCTGCATGCTGAATATTAATGCCTTACCAGCCCACACAGACAGGACCTTCATTCATATTTTTGCTAGAATGAGTCAGAAGGACACACACAGGCAAACACACAAAAAAGAAGAAAAATCACAAGACACGACGTGAATGAGAGTCTGCAGCTCTGCCAAGGCCACCATAATGGGTGCTGATGCCATTGGGTAGGAAAGCTTTCATGAGGAGTGCTCGAGCACAAACTGCCACTAATTCATTTCTAAGGAAAAGAAAAGATACCCCACATAAAGACACTGATGGTAGCTCACCCTGCAGTCAGAACTTCATCGGTGTGAGTGTGTGTGTGCGTGTGTGTGTGTCTGTGTGCGTGTGCCAAGAGATCAAGAAGAGAAATAGATGAACTATAAGTGAAGCACTTATTGTCTACAATAAGTGATTTAACATTTACAGTTGGACCCTCAATGTACGGCCACATTAGCTTTCCGTTCAGCACACTCGCCGCACATTCCATAGCGAGAAGGGATGTGACGTTATAAACGCACGAGGTTCCTCTGGTCAGTTATGTGGTGTGAGTGAACAGAACAGCGATCAGTAAAGTTGTAAATCTAGAATTTTTTTACTACAAAGACATCTTTTAATATGAAAAAAGAAATTATTTAACACACTAGCTAATAAAAGGTTGAGTTAACCCAATTAAACTGGCTTTTTGTTTGGTACTGTTCAGTGATGTTTCAATTTAGTGAATAGGAGATAAGAGTGCAAATCTTCAGAGATTGGTGGTGTAGTTAACAAGCTTCTCATACTGTGAAAATCCATCAAATGCAGTTTATTACTGGTTTGACTGTTGTTGGTTTACAGGCTTACAATGATCCAAATTCATTAAGCAGATGATTTTAATATTTAATATTGTTCTGAAGTTCAAATCATTACTATTGATTGAATTACTAAAACCGACTGACATGCTGCAAGACATTTGGACCTATTAGGGTCTTGGGGGCGTGGCCTCGTTTTCAGTCTTTCTATCCTTTTTAAAAGAAATCCTGTGTAATCATTCTGCCTTTAACAACATCTAGTGTGTTGTGTAGTTTCACTCTCTATGTTCTCAAAGGGGGCCGTGACGGAAAGGTTTGGGAACCTCTGGAATGAGCGTTGAGGGTTGAGGGTTAAGGGTTGAGCGTTGAGGCTTGAGGGTTAAGGGTTGAGGATTAAGGGTTGAGGTCTGAGGATTAAGGGTTGAGGGCTGAGGATTAAGGGCAGGGGGTTTAGGGTTGAGGGTTGGAGCCAAGTGGAGGCCAAGTTCAGGTTTGGGTATTGAGCAGGGGAATACATAATGTTAGCAAGGCTCCCCTCACAAAGATAGAAATACAGGAATGTGTTTATGTGTGTGAGTGTGTGTGGGGCTTTCATGTTGAACACTGTCAGCTCTTGAGTGTGTGTAACGTTGGATGCTCCGTCTGGAGAGAGCGCACATGCTCACCCGAGCGGGATCGAGCATGTTGGCTTCGTGATGGCATTAATAGACATCCCGTGCAAAGTTTCACCCAAGACACGGTGGCGAATAAAAGAAAGAGGAGCGGAAAAAGGACGGCGGACAGAAGCGGAGGCTGAGACAAGGAGATGGACAATGGTTTGCTTCGGAATGTGCGGATTGTTTGTGTTAAGAGAAGACAATTCCTCTCGGGAGAAGAGGAATTGTTTCTCTTAGGAATAAGTGGGAGCAGAGGACAGAGGGTTTTTTTTTTACTAATCACACCTACAATGCTGAAGCACTGATGAGAAAAAGTCTTCATGTTAGCTTGTGGACACTGGGGGCGTTTTTTGATCTGGTCAGGCTTTCACAGCTGTTGTGGCCCGGAGCATGAAGGCATGCGCTGGCTTATTCCCCTAACAGACCCATAACCCCAAACTTGTTTTATCTTTCTACTTCTCATGTTCCCATCAGCATTACCTTCTTGTTTTTTCAGAAAAAAATGCAGAAAACAAAAGAAATTCATCCGCTTTAAGAATCCCCATCTAATGTTTTAATCCAGCGTCTAATTCCTACAGAATCGAGTAATGAAGAGTCACTCATGTCTCCAGCTTTTCTATATTTAGCACAAAGAATTAATTTACACAGACATGACTTAGCCTTCATTATTTTGGGGATGGGAGAGGGAAGTACACTTATTGCAGAGAGAGAAGGAGGACAAGAGAAATGAAGACAGTATTAAAAATTGCCTGGTGTCGTCCTCCCCTTATGTTCCATTTTTCACACAATTCACTGGGGGGCTGCAGAGTCACGGGACAGAGGCAAGGACACGTTGGAACAAAAATACAGTTGAAACAACGTCTCAAATCATCCTCAGAGACGGACATGCCAGATCTTGCCGGATTCCCTCCACAATAAACCTGGAATGAACTATAACCAAGTGTTTACTTAAGTAAGTGAAAAAGTAATATTTTACCAGGAAACTTGTGTAAGATCTTGAAAAGCACAGAGTCAATACAACAAAGCATGCTGAACTTAGCTTGTTTATTTAACATCAATACTGAGTACGGTGTGTCCGCACATAGCAGCCTGCTCAACGTGATCTCCAAAACCTGTTCGGAAAAATTTATACGAAATATTTGACATAGAAATTCGTAACAATACATACTAACTGGCGGTGGTTAACCACGCCCCTTGAGTGAACGCCTCTCCGCCATGTTGTATTTTTTGAGGGGGTTAGGGTTAGTATTGTATTCTTACAATTTAACATTGATTTCTGGTTAAAAATGCAATCATACGTTCACACATTTATTTTACATCGTTAGACTTCACAAAGTGTGTTTACGGGGTGCAGGTCCCCATTCACTTGGAATAGGGTGACGTCATCAGTTGCAGTCCGTATTTATTTAGTATGTTTCACTACGAATTTGTATCTTCAAGATTTTCGTATACATTTTTACAAACAGGTTTTGGACATCAGGCTGGCCTGCTGGGTTCCCAATAAAACAAAACCAATAATAACATGATACATACACAAGGATTTATCCTGGAATGAATTAAAAAAAATACACAGTGACAAGCAGACAGATATTCCTGCCTTTAAAGCTCGATGTTGGATTTATATAATATAATGGTGAGAACTAAAGCGCTGGCTGAAAGGCTTCCCTAGATTCTCTCCTTTTCTTGTTCTCTTTTTCTACCTCCTCATCCCTTTCCCTTTCCTATTCTTTCATTCTTCTCTAGTGCGGTGTCCCCCATGTTCTATGTTTTGTTCTTTTTTACGTCCCAACATATCAAAAATCCAAGAAAATGGAGTCATTGTGTGTTTATATACTTACTTTTAGCCCTTTTAATACTAGTAATACTTACAGAATATGTTATCTGTGGCTCATCCCTTGTGTGTGTATAATGGATGGCCAGAGTCAGTCCCAGGACCGGTCTGATTCCCAACATGAGCTGGCGAGTAGCGAGACAACATTGTCTCCTGCTTGCACCACGCTGCTTAACACCACATCAACTGACCGAATGATCCGAATGGAGTATTCAGACTGCTGTACAAGTCAAAGATTAACGTGTCACTTTGCATGACTTGTAACTGGATTTCAATTGAAATGTGTGCAGAATAAAAAACAATATTATTAACCCAAAGGATTAAATGTCCCAGTAAACCATGCCAGCGTACACAATACCGGTGTCCCGGAACTGGTAAAGGGAAACAGAATGAAGTCATTAGTAATGTGATAAAAGGACACCTGTGCCTTTGCGGCCATGTGCCAATGAGCACACACAGTGGTTAAACGGATTAGAGGGGGAACATCGGGGATACTTTGCACTGTGAGGTCCCAAAACACCTTTAGACATTCACATATTAATATACATATCACTCCAATGTCCTTCTGAAGCCAGTATGTAGGTGTCAGTCACAGTTCCATGCATAAAAATGGGCCTACTGTCCAACATGAGACCATTTTAGTTTTCTTAACCAACAAAGGGGATTGTCTTGGAATGCGTATTTGCATTCTGTATGCACACAATGCTGCTACTGCCAATGTGAGATGTGAATGCACATGTTGAGAGAAAAAACGTGTCGATTCTCAAAAGACAATAGATCACGAGTTTTGGATCCTCGGACTGCTCGTGTTTTCTGTCATTATTGAATTTAATGTCACCCAATGTCCTAAATCTGTATGAAGTGCAAATAAGACTCAAGCTGAATGGAATCCATCATTAGTCTACGAAATAATTTTGATGATAATGAAAATGTTGAGTAGTGAGTTGATTGATTTAAAGGTCCCATGAAGGACATGTAAGAAGAGAAATCAATCGTTAGTCCAAGTGTTGGTCCCACGCCTTTTGCATCAGCATCCACAGCTGGATTTCCTCGATTTGTAAACGACACCCGGCCCATGCGAGGTACTGGTTGTGTTACAAGGTTGCCGTGCTGAGACTGGGCCCGACGCCGAATGTCGTCTTCTCCCTCAACCTCCCCCTCCTCTCCCTCCTCTGCTGCTCCGGCCAGCCAACACAACACGGCTAATAGGGACATTTAAATGTCAGCATCACACACATCTGAGAGAGCTCTTCCCTCATCATCTTTGCACGTATGCCGCAAATGTTTTTACCAAGATTTTAGCAGCTGCTTGTTCATGACATGTTGTGGACATGGTTTGTGCCTCACATGTCAAGCAAATTTTATCAGGAATCTGCTGCTTGCCTCATAGTGAAACAGCTGCAGATTAAAACTAAAAACATTTCAAACATAGTTTGCTTTTTTTATTAATCTGCTCCGTTTCTGTCAAAGAGCTCAAACAGGCTTTCAGGAACATCGTGGATCTCATTGTTTTTCTTTAAACCAGCGGTCAAAATTCATGGCGGACGTGTCGCTCATTCATCACTCTTAATGAATGCGGCTGTAGCTGAGCAGTAATAAATGTAAACAGATAGCTCAACACGATTGTTGTAAAAAACATTCTGCAGCAGTTGATCCTGAGACTTGCAGGAAGAAGAACCCTTTTTAAAAAGACAAGAACAGCAAGCATTAAGTAGTGAGGGCACTAGAGGAAGCTCACCTGTCAAACAACAGCAGGTAACAGAATATGTTATCGGCCTGTGGTTTTAACCATCAAAACTGACCAAACGCAAGACCAGTTGTGATCCACAGCAGGATGCATCACACTTGCAGCTTTCACATGAAGACCTGCAGGAATACAGGATCTTCAGGAATACAGAATCCTTAAATGCTTTCCAATTCGATTTCTGTGTTACAGGCCTGCTACAATGCATGCATTGCTGTATAAATGAGATATAACACCATATATTGGCAGCCTAATACCGTCATTAGTGCCCAGGAGTACACCATTATTTTTCGGTAACCACCCAAACAGACTTGACAAAGGCTGACCCTCCTCATGCAGATGAGATGGGTACGTGGGCTATTTGTCAATATGTTGGAGACGATGTGGATATCAACGGGCTGCTTACCCATATTATCCCATTTACAATATGTTACTGTAATCACACGCTGGATGCACACGCACGGCTGCAGCAATTGTGCAAACTGCGCCCTGCAAGAAGCCACTGAAGGGAAGAAGGCACCTCCTCCCGAGCCACGGCAACACATGCCGCAAGATTCCGGCAAGCTTCAATTCACCTCTCAGACAGCCGTCCACACATCCACGTCCGTGCATAATCGGCTCGTGGAAATCAACACAGTGCAATTCTAATTCATGCGTTTTTGCAAAATCTTACCATTGTATCGATATTTCCCCAAAATGCAACTTCCGCTCTGTGGATCCTCCGGGCAGATGAAACGCTGCGCCCTCAGCAGGGGACAAATCTACCCTCACGGGGGATGCGGAGGGACAAGCCGCCCCGGTGGCTCCCCGGCAGCACAAGTTCCACCCGAAATGCAGTTCGGACGAAAGGTTGGTGACTTCCGATCAGGAAAAACAAGCTGCGACTTTGTGTTTGCAGGGAAATTCAGATTTCCCGATCAGTGGCGGTGAGGATGGAAGCTGCTCGCTTCGCCCTCCACAGAAGAATGCGCCGCGCATTTCTCTCTCTCTCTCCCCCTCTCTCTCTCTCTCTCTCTCTCCCTCTCTCTCTCTCTAACACACACACACACACACACACACACACACACACACACACACACACACACACGCAGGCTGTCACTTTCTTTCTCTCTTCACTCTGACACATGCACGATTCAACACAGAAAATGATACGGATGATATGTGGTAGAACAGCAAGGACGGTGTGTGTGTGTGTGTGTGTGTGTGTGTGTGTGTGTGTGTGTGCGAGGGAGAGAGAGGTACAACAAAAAACAAAGATCAGGACCAAGGACAGCAACCATCATAATTTGATACACACACAAAAAAAAAAAAATATATATATATATATATATATATATATATATATATATATATATATATAAATATATATATATATATATAAAAAAAAAATAAAGATGCATCTGACTTCATGAGTAACATCTAAAATCAAGACATTCTTTCGTGGGTCCTCAATGGCATCTGTGAACCACTCAGCTGAAGAATAATTAAGGGAGACCCTGATTGGGGTGGTCACCTCCAGACCAATGATGCCTCCAGCACTGAGCAAGTAGAGCAAAGACCTGACTCGAATGATTCGTTACTGGAATGATTTGTCGAATGCTCCAGTTTCCTTCAAACAAGCTAATCGTTAAAAGGTGTCAGAAAGCTGACCTGCTGTCACAGGGAGGGGCAGGATCTTACAGCTGGCCAATTGCAGCATGAAGTGGGCGTGTTTGTTCGGTTGTGAATGAGAGCAGCAGATGGAGGACACTCGTTGACTCATATAGCTCTTCCATTTACTCGACAGTCATTGGACAATGTGAAAATCTCTGTTATAACTCATATGTGGAGGATTGCTCTGGATGTAGAGTGGTTGTTGTATTCATCACGAGCTCTGCCGTTTGATTGCTGGCCCCTGCAGTTTAAATGTCTCCGCTATCAGTGTGCGCAAATGGTTGGCCCTCCTGAGGTGCAGGCGGCTTTTTGTGCTGTATAGCCTCTGCCATGAAGAGGAGAAAGTACCATCAAAGCCTCCTGTATCCCCCACATATCTGCTTTCTAAAACCTCTTCCAGCAACCAAACTCTCTTTTAACTGATTCTTCTAACTGATTCTGTAAGTGTGAACCACGCAGATTCCTTCAAAGAGAGACTATCTCCAAAAGTGTGTGCCGTTATCTCGATTTGTATGCTTCCTGGTGTTGCAACAATAAACACTGCACTGCAAACAACGCTCTTGGAGATTGACCAGGGAGGCAGTGGGATGCAGCCAGGCTGAGGCAATAATAGTATGCTTTCACTTTGACATGAGCTATTTCTAAAAAAAAAAACGCTTGAGCTTTAGAGATGGTGGCAGGGAGTTCGGTGGAGAATCTTTTGACAAGACCTGATGTTGCTTTTCAATGTAATTTGTCCAATATTTGTAAATCACAATCAATGCTTAATTCATTCATTCTTTTTGGAAATCTAAATCTTTATACCACCAGTTATGATGATGCATGAACAGAAGAGAAGGAGGAGGGAGAAAAAAAGGAGGAGGAGGAAGAGTAGGCTTTTAGAAGAGTGGCTCTGAAAATATATTTTACTCGCTTTCTCACTGTGATTGAAATATGACTCTTCACATCTACATGTAAAAATGAAAAGAAAGATGATTTTTATCCTTTAGGAAAAGAACCAAAATACACATCTAGGAATGTCCTACTGTAATAAATGGGTGGTCTAGAAATATTAATACTCTCCAGTAAAGTTGTCTTTTTTCATATTTGTAAACCTGCTTATTATTGGGATTCTGTTTTTTAAATTTATAATTAATATTTTTATCCCATTTCCAAACATTTCCAAGAGATTTATACACATTTTAATCTCATGCCTGTTTTTACAATATTCACATTGCAAAATTCATTAATTAATTAGTACTTATGAGTGAATATCAGAAAGAAACCTACAAGAAAGCAAAATAAATGAGAGAAAACCAGAAGTTCAAATCCATTCAATCATCAATTAATTAAAATACATTCTCATCCAAACTCGCTTGGCGACACTTTATATTAAACATTTGGTGAATGTTGAATTCAAACAAAACGCAGAAAATGTGTATTTTTTACTGTTTATTATCAACAGCTGATAAGTCATGAAGTCTTGACATAGTCTTTGGCACAGATTTGCAATTAGCAGCTAGATAAATCCTCCCTATTAGAATCCAGACACTGGTGGTGCTGGAAGCTGATGAACGCTGATAGAAGGATGAGATGATAAAGTTGATGAAGTTGGGTTGATATGATTGACGGCCCCAAACAATTACAGCAAGGAAATTATGAGTTAGCATTCATGAGAGGAGCGTGAGAAATAAACCACGGGTGTCAGCATTAAAGGGTATAGTTATAGAGGGGGGGTCGGGAGGGCAATAGGGGGTTGGTGGGTAAGGATGTCTATGGACATGTGAAGGCTTAATTTAATCAGGTTTAGGAAAAACATCAGGGTTAGGCTTGAATAAGTACATATTCTACGTAAAATATAACAACATAGCATAAGTATGGAAAACGAACACGGTATATTGTAATTATTTGACCCTGCCACTCAAATAATGTGCAACTGAACCCCCAGATAATAGGCTTGGTGTATTTGGTAGGAAAATGTAATTTTTTCCACTGTGAATTTGGAACGAACCATTTATTTCCACTTAGACATCCACGGGGCTACGGGCTTTCAGTTCTCCGTGTTCTTTTGCTAGAAGATGGAAGAAAACAAGTGTTCATATCTACTCACACTGTGAGGGAGATGCTTGTATTTGATGTGCAGCATGTTTGTTCCATATGTGGCCCAGGGAGAAATTCCACAAAGCACATCAGAGTCAACATGTTGCGTGTCAACTCCCAATTTTCTAAACAAAATCTTCTCCACCAACAAAATCAGAGCTGCATCTGATTTCTTTTTTCCATCTAACCCTCCTGCTAAAAGTGAGTAAATTTCTACTTGTAATTCTCATCCTGCTGTACTTCAGCTGTCCGACACAATTGGGAGTGGTTATTCAGGATCCTTGAGTCGGCATGTGTCTTTTACCTTAAGCTGCAGTGAGAAGGGTCTACTAAATAATATGTATGTTTACCAACACACACACAGACACACACACACACACACACACACACACACACACACACACACACACACACACACAGACACAAAGCCGGGCCTCTCAGAAGGAATTGTGATCAGAAGTTGAGTAGTTTGGACGACGCAGTGACATCATCACTAATTGATCCTTTTTTCTGAAAGCAGAAAAATGCTGCTGTATGGGGTTACCATAGCAACTGGCCTATTTCAATGCAGCCGGATGTGTGTTTGAGTGCTGTTTAAAGCGGCGGGAGGAGAGGGGGAGTAGGGATGGCAATAGGGGCTTGGTGGGTAAGGATGTCTATGGGCGAGTGGGTTGTGAGCTGCCTGAATGCAAGGAAAGAGTTAAAAGAAAGAAATGGACAAAAATACCCCATCAAGCACACCGGCGATGGCAAAATAAATGTACATCCATCAAAACATGAAGACACAAATCTATTTAAAATGTATGAAAAGGCAGACGGTGGAATTAATGGGACTGAGCTATTAGAATTTGGATCAATCTCAGTCTCACCTCAACTTCAAGCTACTGACCCAATGCGTCGGCTCAGATCCACAATTCACAGATGTTTCTGTGAACCTAACTGATTGACGTTTAAGACACTCCAGCACACTCCAACAGACTGATTCCCAGTTACTGCCCTGCCTGTCCCTGTTCTTCCCGCTTTGACTGATTCCCGGTAAACCTACCAGTCTTCTGATACTTCCTCTGATGAATTCCGCCTGCTGTTCTGAAAGTCTGCAAATAAAAGCCAAAGATCTCTGCACCCATTGCATTTGTATTGCAGTCAGCCAAAGTGGTCCTGCTGCATGTCTTCCGGCTCCATGGTCTCCCCACTGACGTGGTATTGGACCAGGGACCTCAGTTTACATCAGGGCCATAACCAGCCTGTCATCGGGATTCCACCCACAATCTAATGGCCAGACTGAGTGCAGAACCAGGAGATGGAGACGGCTACACGGTGCTTGGTCTCCAAGCATCCGTGGTCCTGCAGCTCCTGTGGGTGTAGTATGCAGCCAGGCACCCAGGTTGATTGGGAAACTTGAAAACCTGAAGGTCATCAACCCTGCTGGACTAAGGCTCCAGCTGCCCCAATCCAGGCCAGCTTCATCCGTCGTTCCATGTCTCCAAGTCCGGGAGCTTCCATGCTTGCCATTTTGTTCATGTCTGATTTGCAGTGCTGTATTAAACACACTATGGGAGGAATAAATGAGGTAGGGTCCTCGTGCGGTCAGAGAAATGAATACTGGATGGCAAAGTGAATGTTTGGGAATGTAAACATAAAGCGTCTCTCCCTCTCCGACAACTGTATCATGCTGTAGCAATAACAGCAATAGGGATCGCCATGGCAACATCATTTCTACCTGAAAGCAAGGATGTGGGGAAGCTGGATGAGCAGGGGGGTTGAACAGTCAGGGAAAGAGAATAAAAAAATGAGGTCGGGCCACTCAAAAGAGAGCATGATTTATGAAGGTATGGGAAGGAACATTTACAAGAGGCCCGCTTCACATAGAGAGAAAAGAATCCGAGGAATTATACCCCAGGAAACCATTCAGCGGGATTCATCCCCTCTTCTCTTTCTTCTACTATTCAAACCATTTCACCACCATTTTTATTGGAATTCTTTTTAAATGCTGCATCTTCTCGGTAACAGCAAACTATTTGATGGTGTTGACAAAAACACATACTATACATTTGACTTGTTAAATAGGAATTTATTCTTTTTTATATCTTATCATGTCAATGAATTACCATACCTCGCTCGAATCTCAGGGCCCTAATATGTTTTCTTCCCACAAAACCATGAAACCTGAAGTTTCTAAAAAGCTAAGGAGGGTTGAACGTGATCACAGCCTGGAGGACAGTAAAGGCAACTGTTTTATTCAGGC